CTCAAATACAGTGTGTACACTACAAAGAGTGATGAGTAAGTATCACATTCTACACTCATTAAAAAGATGGTGCATCAAGGGTTCTTTAGTAAACAAAATGGTTCTATATAGAACAATGAACACTCAAAGAACCCTTTGCATGCTTTGCATCATGAAAGGGTTCTTTAGACTGATAAAAAAAAAGCAAGCTTGTAACAATAGAAGAAACTTTTTGGGTGCTATATAGAACCCTTTTCAAAAAGATTCTACATAAAACTGTCTATAGCACATTAATGCACATTTTCCATCAATCTGAAGAATGCTTTCATGATGCAAGGAACACTTTTATCATGCAAAGGGCTCTTTGAGAGTTCGTGGTTCTCTATAGAACCATTTTCTTTACTGAAGAACCCTTGATGCACCATTTTGTAAAGTATGATGGTGTGGGTATAATTATACAGAAACTGTTCGCCCCTACTCTGCAGTTGGTTGGTATTGTAAAATGACAAAAAGAAAAAAGCAAATGTTTTTTTTTTTTGTGTGTGTGAAAACCTATAGGAACGCCCATAATATAATTAGATGCTGAAATACAAGAGAGTGAAATTTGAAGTTATTAATATATAGCATTACGATTCTCCTGCTGTAGTTATTTTCTCAATTCTTAAGCATATTGTCAACAGTGCTGTATCAGTTAACACGCACTGTAATTTCAGTCCAAAACAACAAATCATTCTGCAATCGCCCTGCATGTGTCCTTCTCGCAGTGGCCAATGGGCAACTGATAAATAAGAAGGGAGGAACTGATAACAAGGCAGGAAACTCCAAAGCAGCCGCTGCCACTATACCACAACGACCATGTCAAAAAAAATCCTATTTTTAACAGCTGAGGAACTTGGTGTACTGAAAAGTTTGAAAACAAAGAAAAATGGTGTTTTCTCCTGGGCTTAGTGTATAATAGCTTTGAAAGCATGGAGCCTGCAGGCCACATGCACAACTGTGTAGCTCTATTAGATAATATTAATGTTTTCTCACAAACACCTGTCATTATTCAGTTTAGTAGAAATTCACTTCAGAAAACTGATACCAAACATGTAACAAATCCTCAGCTCTAAATTTAAAAAAGATCTCTTAAAAAATCTCCAACAGTGATAAACACATTACTGATTGATGTGTGTCTCGTATTAGAGAAAATTCCAACAGTTAATGTCTCCATAATTCGACCGTTGAGATGTAAACAAAGTCATTCAGAGTGATTTGAGGTGAAATGGTTTACTCAGATTTCTTTACAGTGGTGGTGATAGGAACCAAGGGTCACAATGACTACACACCAAATATAGCCATTTTATTTGCTATCCAAAACAACCAGTGAACCTACACGTCTTCACACGTGAGTTATTATGTGCAATGTTGATTGTGTTTTTTTTTTAGGGACTCTTTTTCCTTACAGTGCCTTGCATGTACCTCTCCTCCATAAATGGATTTTAAAAAATACTTTAAGCCAAATCCTTATTGCAAAACTATTCTAAAACAATGTCTTTGTATTCGTAACCATTTTATGAGATAATTCTCTGATGTAGCTTTTAGAGGTATTAACCCCTTAAAATCCCAGGCTTATTACATGCTAAGTCTTATTATTCAGTAACTACAGGGACTTCAGGGCAAACTGGTTGAGCTATTCTTAGGTTATAGAAGTGTGTAATAAACTTTGGGCTCGCCGGCAGACCCTGACCATTTAAGGGGTTAAACTTTTTGGATGTCTGGTTCCTATGACCAATGATTGGTTGATGACAATTGAGAACAATTCTGACTCTGTGAGTTTCTCTAGAATGGCACATTTCAAATCAAACCACACTGAATGACTTTTTTTAACCAGTGAAATATATTTTTATTAGTTTGTTTTGAGATGTCTATATTAAGAATAAAAATATACATATTTGTTTGTGTTTGTAGCTTGACTGCAAGCCCAAACAGAAAAAGCTGTCTAGGGAATCTTGACTCACATTTTGCAGGCTACAAATTCTCCACAAAAAGGCACCATTAACAGTCATATAACTTTTGATGCTTAATAAGAGCAGTGCTTCAAATCAGTGACACTATGTGTCCTTCAGCTCTACAGTATTCAAAAATATGCAATTCTGAGGTAAATAGCTATTAGTATGTCATTAAATTTATTTTGCACAGTAGGTAATAGTGTTAGATAGCAAAAAAAAGTCTACTTGCTGCACATCCAGTGCAGTAAACATCACATTTGATAGTATGTATCAAATTATCACTTGCTTTTAAAACAGACTTAACTGTCTTACTGTTTCTCAGCCTTTTTGAATGTCTTTGCTGTGTCGTCCATTAGAAGTGAAGGCTGTTTAGACAACACTGGCTGCAGTTAGGAGGTACATTTAAAAGAACACTTTCTTTGTTTAGATATGAGCTGATGAGACAGTTCTGGAGAGATAGGCCTTATGAGTGAGCACCATTTTCTCAAACATCAGTCCAGCTCAAACAGGATGCAGAAGGCCAGGAAGGTAAGAACCAGGAATCTGGACATGTGGTCGATTAATCTTTCAGTCCCTTCAATCTTTTTTATCACATACTTCATAGTTTACTGCCATTTATCTGTTAATTAGCCAACCCTTAAACACAATTTGCAGTTGTTTCTTTTCCTCTTTTTTAGATTTTTTATTTCATTAGATTTGCACTGGAGCTATGAGGTCTAATGCGGCGAACAAGGAATGGAAAAAAAACAAAAAAACAAATAGCACTGCGTCATCTGCTTACCTACTTCATCACACACCTTCCTCAAACTTGTTGAACTATCAATTAATCTCAAATAAACTTGTTTATGTGTTTCTGACATTGTATGACCATAGAAAATGGAGAAATTTACAGACAAAATTCTGGTTCAGAAGTGGTTGCTGCTGCAATGGAATGTCATTTTGTCCATTTCTGTAGATAACTGTATGTCAGACAGTGTGATACCAAATATGTCTTGCCTGACTATGTGAAGTAATGGAAATGACTTTGTTGCTGAATCCTCTTTTACACCTTTGTGCATTCCCCTACAGGCCTACGTCAACATGGCTCTCTTTGAGAACTTCACCCATGCTGGAATAGATGCAACTGCAGAGGAAGCCTGACTACCCGCCCCCCCAGACTCCAGGAGGTTCCACAGTCCGAGGGAGGCTCAACACAGCAAAGCACTTTGCTACTGCCAACCGCCTCCCGCCCAATTTCATTGCTCAAAGTCACTCTGGACCAGTAAAGTTCCTTCCAATGGACAGATGCCAGACATTCTACAAAGCAGTTGAGATAATGAAAAAGAAATAAACTCACAAAGTGTACCATAGTCATTTCACTACCACATGTATATATTTCACTTTGGATGACTTTGCTTGTATGTACATATAGAGTACCTTATATCGTGGTGCCTCCTTTGGAAAACACCTTATTTTTGCATGTCAGCATATATTACATGTAAAATTAAAGGACAGAACTGTAAATGTTTTCATTTTATAAATAAAGCATTTACACAATGTCGACTTCCAGATATGTGATGTCAGATGGACTGGGTGGGTTAGTTCAAGTTCAGAGAGTACTTTCTCCCTCTCTCTCTCTCTCTCTCTCTCTCTCTGTCTCTCTCTCTCTCTTTCTCTGTCACTCTTATGCTCTTTCTTGCTCGCTCTCTCTTTCTTTTTCTTCTTGCTCTTCTCGCACAGTAGAGGGCTTGAGGTAGAGCCTCTTGCCTGCTGCAACTCAGCGATCTGTCAGAGAATTTCCTCCTTCAGTGAGCCACAGGCACTGGACCTGTCACGCAGAGGATGCTCAATTTCCTTCCCACACCCACAATCTCTTGTATACACATTTAAACACTCTCTTATATTGCACATATACAGTCGATTTTCTTTGTTTTGTCTTGTGCTGGTTCAGATGTTGGGATAGGTGTAGTTTAACTGTAGTTTGGCTTTTGTCTGTGTATTGAAATGGTTTGTCAGTAACATTTTAAAATATGGTTCCTTAATGCTTTAGTAATCATTAACTAGAATTACTATAGTAGTTTTTAATTTATTAGATTAATTAATTCACTATACTAAAATACAATGTTTTTCTTACATGCTTAATGATTCTTTACCTACTGCTTAAATAAAAAGTAATCAGGTGTTAACATATCAGTTCTCCACCAACTACTTCCATAGTTAATATTTATGTATTTATTAACTTTGCAGAAAGTAATCAATTATTACCATAGCAATCCTTCTGTAATAAACTACTATTCAACTAAAGCATAATAATTTGGTGACAAATTTTGAACCACTGGTAACTACATGTTTAACGACCCCTTAACTAATGCTTAAGTACTTACTAATTCACTAAAAAGTAATCAAGTAATACTATATTAGCTCTCTAACAATTACTTCTCAGCATAATGAGCTGCAATGCTACAGAATGTGCAATGTCTTAGACTTGGTACCTGCTACTACTGGTGTTATCTAAATGTTTATCGATTTATACTGTTCTTATTTTGACATAATGACAGTTATTTCATTTTAATATACCAATATTATGATTTGTGGCCCCCACAAGTAAAGTAGAAAATGAATGTCCTTATTCATACTATACAACTACCAAAAATCCAGTTTGCTTTTTGTAATTCATTCATATTTCCACTGAAATATAGACTGTGTTACCGAACAAAAAACATGCTGAATAAATGGGGGCTAATTTGCTCCACAGGAACTCTTATCAGTGCCTGAATACACTCTGCATATATATATATATATATGTCTCCACAACACCTAACCATTCTTTCACTATCAGCACTGTGAAGATGTGCTGAAACTGTGTGCACATGTGAATTTGTGTGTGTGTGGTGACAACAAGTCAGAGGCCCAAAATGGGTGCCAGACTAAATCCACTGAACACACACTTCCTACTGTGCTGAAGCCCTATCAGATAGAGCCACCCACTGCGTTCACATCCCCCCCCTCGTCACCCAAAGTGAAATCACTCATTAGTTTGTGTGACACAAACACCCACACATACAAAGACATATGGGCAGTTCTGAAGAGTCATGGGTTAAAGCGATGCCTGTTCACATGATGGATCCAAAGCTCACCTGGTCAATATTGCTCTTCTGTCTGATTGTGCAAGTCGATTGTGGCCCTCACCTGTCAAAACAAGGTAGGGTGGAAAAAGAGCCGTTTGATTTTTCAGTTTGAGGAGCCATTGGAAGATTTATTTGGATTTTCACAGCAACGGTTATGAACAGTTGTTTTATCCAACTGTGAAATATCTTCCAGTACATATTATGTAATGTGTATTACATAAGATCGTACAACCAATAAAAAAACTGACAGTTAATGCTGGTTGTGTGAAGTACCTCGATATGTGTTTTTTTTTAGGTGAATATTACCTGCATAATAACCAGGTGGCCTTACCTATAATAGACCATTTTAAGTTACAATCCACACATTTTCAGTTGGTTGAAAATAAGTCTGTTGGCTGACTTTACAATGGTCCTGCACTTTTGTGTACTGACCTCCTTCATAACGGACTAAAGTGCAACTCAGTGTGTTTAATATAAATGTATTAATGCGTTTTAAATGCTGTTCATGCAAACATTTGCAAATTTTGCTGTTATTAAAACTTCAGTCTCAGAAATGATGAGACGAAAACTTGAGACGATGCATGTTAATGAGATTTTATTCCGAGTAATTTTGAACCAATTCGATTGCTTCCACTTGAAATGTTTATGCAACATAAATGGACACTGCCATTTTCAAATGGTGCTAAAGTAGAAAATTTAAAAATTCAAGAGGAATATCAAGGTTTTGATTCAGCAACATTAAAATATAGCCAAATGATAAACAGAGTGGGATCTTTTTTAGGTTCTGTTGTCATGAAAGGTGCCACTGGCACAATTCCACACCATAACGGACGTATTACCATCAGTCAGGTCACTTTTTCTCATAACAGTAAAACCAAAAATGGCATCACACAGTAATACTGGATTGATATGTTTTTATGCAAGAGTTACAAAGCGTTAGTTGGATTGCTGCTACAGGAGGACCACTTTTGGGTCCTTAAAGAACTTTTTAAAGGCTCTTTTAAAATAAATAAGATGTGTGAGTGTGGAGAACCTTCCACAGTGTGTAGAGTTTCTATTACAAAGACAGTGAGTCCAAGTTAAGCACCATTTAAGAACTTTTATTTTTAAGAATGTACATGCTGGATTGTGAGTTCTGTTCTAAGTCAGAGCTTCTTGAAATAATGATATTTCCAACAGTTCTTTAAGGACCCAAAAGTGGTCCTCCTGTAGCAGCAATCCAAGTAATGCTTTGTAACTCTTGCATTTTCTAGGAGTGAATAAGATTAACATTTCAGTGAATCAATAAAGTTTTGCTGAAATTAAAGTTTTGCTGGATTACAGCTGAATAAAAACTGAACTTAAAGATTCTTAAATGTAACATTTATCCTAACTAATGTTGTTTCTTTTTATGTGAAAATCTTTATTTTTTTAGATGTGGCCCTGCTGGCTGATGAGGAGAATCCAAAGTGTTTCACTAGAAATCTAGAGGACTTAACCTGCTTCTGGGAGGCACTTGAGGGAAAGACATATGAATTCTTCTACAGAACAGACGAGTGAGTATCATATGCAACAAGACCCCTGCTCTGGAAACCCTTAATAAAACTGAATAATGAAATATATTAGAGCTACTGTCAGCCATGGGGAATATAAAATGATTGTATAATTGAAAGTGATGATGCATCCGCGTTATATTTTAGTCCTTTAGATGTAAAGGCCAAAGGGCATTTTATTTTCAGATACAAAGATGACATCATTTAATGTGTAGTGATACATAACAGCATTTAAAACTTTGCAGTATTTTTGGGGTTTTTTGGGGGGCTTTTTCTCCCCAAATTTGGTCACATCCAATTCCACCCACTAGTTAGGTCTCCCCCAGTCATGCAATACCACTAGTACTAGAAGGATGAAGGTTAGCACAGGCTTCCTTTGAGTAATGTCAAGCCAGCCACAGCATGTTTTTGAACTGCCACTAACACAACGTCATTGGACAGCTGGTCGCGCTTGGAGGAGAGTGCTAACAGTCATTTTTTTTTACGTTAGCTAACAGATGCCTTGGGGTGATGGGGGTAGGGGTAGGGCTATCCTGCCCACCCAAAGACAGCAAGGCCAGTTGTGCTGTCTTGGACCCCTGGCCATGGTGGCCGTACACAGTTTTCTTACCATTTTATATTTGTTTTTATCTGTAGCAAACTCAATGTTGCTCTAACAGGCTGGTGTTGTCCTGTGCCATGCTACATTTAAGAACTGTTTTTTTCAAAACACAAGCATGGAGGGGCTGACCAGGTGACCTATAAAAAATCTAATTCATTGTGACTCATGTTTGCCTTTAGAATACATATAGAGTACAGTGCTATTTTTTGTTTCCTTGGATAAGATTTGGGTCTGAAAGGGTTAAACTCTTGGGTGATACATGACTTAACACTGAGCTCAGCAAAGACTTGGCTACTGAAGTCTAAAAATAGTAACTTCTGTATCAAGGTAGGCTGTAAGTTTAAGTCTTTACTGAATATGGAACTGTAAAATTACAACATAAAAAAAAATATATATGACCTGAATGACTGTTACAAGCGTAAATGTCCACATTTAAGGCTGAGCATGTTAAAAATGGTAATAGACACTCCTGATTGCTTGATGCAATACCGCATCTCATATATGTGTATGTGTGTGAATGTGTATGTTTGTGTATCCAGCCTGTGACGGACAGGGACCTGGGAATTATTTTGGGGTCATTTGCACAAAATGCCCATAGGACTTTAAAGTTCAGTGTGAATTGCTTTTTCTATTAACTTGACAGTGACCTCTCTGGACTACTAAGCTATTAGTGTTAGCATGTCTGCATGTTTTTTTGTAACACAAATGTTAGTAGTTCTCTCTGTGTTCTACTTCGGAGGTGTTTTTGAAATAAATTTTTAAATAAAAAATTAAAGATTTATAGTCCCCTGTGTAATCTGTATTGCCTAATGATATGTTTTTATAATGTTAATCTTAATCAAGGATGAAGACTGTTTCATTATGCATGACGCATCATAGTTTCTTGCGCACTGGTGTAATTGCAGTAATTAGTAATTACAAGTGTACCTGTATGGGAGGTGTTTCTAAAAAATGGCCAATGAGGTATATGGTGTAGAAGGTCTGAGAGATTTGGTGTTCGGTTGCTTTTGCCTGACATCCAGATGTTATCTTAAAGATGTATCTCAGCAAGTGTATTAATTAAAAAACTATATGCATTTTAGAAATTAAATTTCAGAAATTTAATTTATTTGGAATTCGATGTGTACAAGATATTCCACGCTGGATGTGTAATCCAAACTAGTCAATCTTTCACCTTTATTACAGATTACAGACTACTTACTGGAAACTGCATTGCAAGTGTTGATCTTGTCCTTGGTGCAATATATTGTGCTATAATGAAACACGTTAGGTGAGGAAATATGTTGCTTTGTTGCAGTGAAGAGAGCAGATGCAATGTGAGTGAGCAGGAGAGTAAAGACGGGAGAATCCTCCTTGTTTGCTTCTTCCCGGCCAGCGATGTCTTCTTGTTCACATCAACACAGCTCAGAGTGGTGGACACACACACCAACACAACTGCCTACAGCCGCACTGTTGATGTAGAGAAACAGCGTAAGTGCAATTAAGTCTTTAAACCAGACTATACAAAAAGTCAGAGATCATCCTCTATGGAATACATTCCTAGTTAAAATAGCCATTAAGTACAGGTTATCCTGAGGAGACTAGATATATGATAATACACTTGCATAAAACTAGTGTTCAAAAACACGCACACACACACACATTTTCTAAACAGCTTATCCTGGGCCGCGGGGGGGCTGCTGGAGCCTATCCCAGCGGTCATTGGGCAGAAGGCAGGATACATCCTGGACAGGTCGCCAGTCCATCGACAACTGACAACTGTGCAAGACCACTCACACTGTCACCATCAGATAAACAGTACCTAAAGCTCATCTTTGAGAGAGAAGAAAAGCTCCATTCTTGCTTCAGATCTGAAAAAAATTCAATGGTGTTTCTGTCCATCCTTCCACTGTGAGAAGACAACTCAACACTATGTGTATGAAAGGATGTGTAGCTGTCACAAAGGTGTTGCTGAAAAACAGAAATAGGTAAAAGAGAAAAAACATTGAAATTAAACAACAAAATCAAACAAAGAAGCTGCTCGTTCACAGAACAATTGACTGACCACCCCAGAGTCCAGACATCAACATCACTGAATGTGTTTGAGTTTACTTGGATTGTGAGAAGCAGATAATACAACCAACAAGCAAGTCTACTGAAAAGAAAGAAAGCTGTAATAAAGGCAAAGAGTGGACACACTAAATACTGAAAAAATAATATTATATTTTGTTGCTGAGGCATCTGTGTGATTATCTGTTAAAATATATGTCTTCTGCTGGAAAAAGAATTTAATATCCATTTTTGACAGGAAATTAAAGAAATAAGGGATGGTCCCTGACCTTAGAACAGTACCGGTACTGCATACAACTTTATTTGTTAATTTAATAGAAGTTACTGAATATTTTATAGTAGTCTAATAATAGAAGAATGAATAAATGTCTACTCAAAACTTCTAAAAAAGAACAAGTAACCCATGTAACCCAAGAACAAGTAAGCCTTCTTTGGGGTGTCAAATCATGTTAGTTACTGGAAAATAAACCTTAAGATTAATAACTGAATAATAAGCCCAGTGTTTCAGAGATTAATCCAAAGTAGTACCATTTTCACATCTCTTCTCTCCAGTTCTGCTGGATCCTCCACTAAATGTATCTGTTCACCTTACTGGAGAGGCTGGACAACTGCTGGTTAAGTGGAAAGCGCCAAAAGAATTTGAAAATCATCTGCAGTATGAGATACGATACTGCTCTGCCTTACAGGACACAGTTATACTGGTGAGTTACAAACAAATTCTTATTCAAAATAGCAAAATTTCCCTGGAAACATTGCATATGTTTTAAGTGTGCTGACAATGTTACCTCTCTTTAGGTCAAGACCAACAGATGTGAACACAAGCTGCTCTCCTTGGTCCCAGGAGACACATACACAGTGCAGATGAGGCTCAAGCCAAACAGCTCCAGTATAAAAGGTCACTGGAGTGACTGGTCATCCTCAGTTACAGTCATGGTTCCTCAGCCGGCAGGTGAGAAAGCAAAGTGTGACTCTATGAAGCACTCAGGGATGAAACATTGCAATATCAGAATCAGACCCAGGAGCTTTTATTCAGCAAGTGTAAGAGATGTTTGTGGTGTAGGTTTCACCAAAATTAAACTAAGATTATATGAATACTACATAATATTAATCTACAAAAAGTGCAGTGTGTCAACAGTTAACAACTACTGTGAATTCTGATTTCAAATTTTCCTTTTTTTTAAGAAATCATAATCATAATCATGACCAAATTCATGTTTTCTATAATGAATTAACCCCTTATATTTCCAGACACATTACATTATTAGGCACATTATTCAGTAATTACATGGAATACATTAGTACATAACTGCATTTACATCCTACTTTGGAGCCACAGTAGTCACTAGAGTGAGCTCTTCCAGTTGAAAGACTAGGAAAACCCCTTCTGACAATGTAACTTGAAAGTTGGAGGAACTATTGAAAACTTCTGCTTTGGTGTGGATTTTTGAAGACAGGCTGTTTTAAAGGAAGGTAAACAGTAGTAAGTGTGTTTAAATCATAACTAGAATGAAGGGAAGGAATTACTCAAACAGCACAAATAACTTGTCAGATGAGGAGGACGACAAGCTTTCCTCAGTTTGGCTTCTTTTCTTTCGCTGAAATGATCTCTGGCGTCCATTTTGCACTGAATAAGACAGAATCACTGTTTCCTTTACAGTGTTGTTTGATGAATGGGGTAAGAGTTAGACAAACGCTGGCTTGGTTATGTTTATTGGCCTATAGATTAAGATCTCATAGGGTATACAAAGATGGCACATGCCTGTTTAAGTCAATGGCAATGGCAGCAGACTCTGCAGAAAGCCATGGCAGCTGACTGAACAAACCTGAAACAAAACTGTTTTTTCTAAAAAATAAGCTTATGAGATGCATGTTTAGGCTTAAACTAGTCACAAGACCCTAGTAATCTCAAAAATGGCCACAAGTTCGCTGTAATCATCAAGGTGGGTCAAAATCTTTAAAGTTTAGCCAATTGCGCCAAATTGTCTGCTGGTGTGAAAGGGGCTTGAATCCTGGTCCCAAAAATATGCTTACATGGTCAGGATGTAAAGGAAGTCAGGATTGGTTAACACCACAGGGATACCTAATGGTTGGATGATGTAAATGCATAATCTAGGCCAAGTTTAACAATAAAACAAACATAACAATGAAACAAAATTCTATATTCTGTCAAATCTATGAAGCTGAGGGATGCAGTGCTGTGCTAGAGTACTGCATAACATCACAGATCGCATATTCAACTCTAGTTTTAGGCTAGAAGACCACACTGGCCTGCTGGCTACTTCTGGTCATTTAAGGGATTAGCTGTGACATAAAATGAAATGTTGCTAGGTGTGTTTTACTCTTCTTAGAGCAGCTTATATTGCTGTCAGTAATTGAAAGCAGTCAATGACATTAGCTGGGCAATTTCTCTTCAAATACAGGCTTTTGTTATTTTAGTGTATAAGAGGCATATGAACTCTTGGGCTAGTCATTCAAAAGAATACACATGCCAGTTATGCTAAATGGTACTATGGTCCTTTTCCTTCTCATTTAGCTCTGCCTGTTGTCTTTGGTAATGGTGTGTGTAATTAGCAATATCAAAATACAGCACTTATTCTACACACTAGGGGTGGGAATCTTTAGGCACCTCACGATTCGATTCGATTACGATTCAGAGGGCTGCGATGCGATTATAAAACGATTATCGATGCATCTCGATGCATCTTTTTTTCTCTATGCAGGATTTCTATCTTCCTACTGTCTAAAAACTTGGTAGTTTTAAAGCAAAGTATTTGTAATGATCCATAAAGTAAATGCATTATGGATCATTACAAATACTTTGCTTTAAATATCTAAAATATCTTTTATTAATAAATCAAATGGAGGTGATGTGGCAAGTGAACTAGAAGGCTCTCATTCAGAGACGCTGCTGCCACTCATCTGCGATAAAATGCGCTGTTAGGGTGAAATAAGATCCAGTGGTATCGGGTGTCCACGCAGCGCGTTACAGCCATCCTTCCCGTTTTCTTTAGTGATCTTATAACTTCGGTTTTGGTCTCGTTGTAGAGAGGGGTATTTTCGAGACTGGACGTTGAATCTCGGCTGACTGCGAACAGACAGCAGACAGCAGGTCACATAGCCCCGAAGTCTGGCCTCGCCAGTAGCGAACGAAAAAACAGATATTAAGACGAACATTTGGAGGACGTATTCGCATTTATAAGCAGCGCGGTTGGTTAAATCTGCTGAGAGACTGTCTTTCTCTAAAAAGTTGCGAAAATGAAGTCGCTTCTCTTTCGAATTTTCCCGTTCCACCTTAAATGGTGCAGCAGTTACATTCGGCGCCTAAGGCAGAATTTAAGGTGGAACGGGAAAATTAGAACGAGAAGCTGGCGAATGAGAAGCGACTTCAGCCTCGTAAAACAGCCGGATGCTGAGACATTTTACAAGAAACTCTTCTAGTTTTGAAGAAAGGTTTTCTGGCGGAGATGGAAGGAAAGCGGCTATAGCAAAAGCTTAAAGCAGAGCGAAGTAAATCTGCGTTTTCGTTTATGTTGTTTAGTCTATACTAGGACATCAGCACACACTGAAACATACTGGACAGTAAATGTTGTGGCTCCCGAGTTGGTTTGATTTATGTTAAAGGACAAAATGGCTCTTCTTATCATTTGAGTTGTGACTCCTGACCTAACCTGGCTTTAATGCAGAGGGAGCCGGTCAGATTTCTCACTCATCCAGTTGTGTTTTTGTTATGTTCTGCCGCAGACTGTCCGGGCGCTGCACTTACCCACTTCCAAGTTCCGCCTTTTGCGTTCCGTCAACGTTACGTTATAAATTAAATATTTAGAAAATCGATTTTTGACATTTATGAATCGATTCAGAATCGTTCACGTCCGCATCGCGATGCATCTAAGAATCGAGTTTTTCCCGCACCCCTACTACACACCATTATTCCATCTCAAACATCATCTCAAAATTGAGGTTTCCTGTTTGTTTTGCAGATGACATTGAATTACAATGCCACACTCCTGACCTTCATCAAGTCCAGTGTAGATGGAACAAAGAACTATATGGTGATGGCAATTACAGTCTGCATTACAGACAAACGAACAGGTAGTGCTGGATATTCTCCTCCTCTGCAATGTGTATTTAGTCTTTGTTATTCATAGCCAATGAAAGCATTTCTTGAGCATTTCTCCTTTTCAGAAGTACTTGGGGAAGCTGGATGATCTGCGACAGGTCTAATGCTTCTGATACGCAGTGTGTTCTCCATGGAGGTGAATCCACCATGTTTGAGGTTTACCTCAGAGTTGGGTTGAAGCCTTTTAGCAGAACCTTTTACATGGACATGTTCATGATGAACAACAGCAGTAAGTGGAAGCATTAATGGATGCACAGTTTGTCATATTTTTGTCATACAATGTTACATGAATGTTATGTTTGCAACATCCAGTCTTAGTGTTTTATTATCAAATCAACCTAAATCAAACGAGCAAAACAGCTACACGACTCTTTCATAATTCTCTTTCACTGTGCTGTCGCATAGCATAGTACAGTATTAAAACTATCTCAGTGCTTAAATACAGTTGCATTGTAGCCTGCATAGCACAACCTCATGTGAAAGAAGTAGTGCATGTTTGTGTATCTCATGCAACTTTATAATAACGTTCTTACTGAAGTCCAATGATGTCTTTTCTTTCTGCTGTTAGTTAAAACAGAAGCTCCAGAGGGACTGAAGGAGGAGAGTGATGGAGAAAGGCATTGCCTGAGATGGAATTCCCCTCTTCCGCTCATATCCCAGCACCTGATCTATCAGATCCGCTACCAGCTCCAAGGAGAGAGTGAGTGGAAGGTGAGGAATGAGCACAATGATGCTGTAAAAAAAAAATAAAAAATATATATATATATATATATATATATATATATATTTTTTTTTACAGCAAAAAAGAAAGTTTTTCTCTCTTTGTTTTACATCATTTGAAAGTATGCCAGCTGAGCTATACAGTTTTGTGAACAGTTCATGCTGAACGGACCAATACAAAGGTTAAGAACTACTCACAATGAAATATTGCTACATTTAAGAGAAATTCCAGCACTTTTTCGAGATTTCTGCACTCTGACTTAGAATTAAGACAGTCAGTGTTTTGATGCTTTTTTTTAAAAGAAACTATATCATTGGAAAACCAACTTTTCTTTGCTTGTTTGAAATAAAGGATGATGTAATATTTAATCATTATGAAAGTCTCAAAATGTAAAATTCACTACCCTGTCTATACAGTCCATACAAGGAAACAATGCTGCAAAAACAGCCTTTTTTGAATGAATTGTTTCTGTGATGTCATGAAACCCAACTCATGTACATATATCCACCTATACAGCCTACAGCAGGTTGGCTTTGCCATATTGAAGATCTAAGGCAGGGGTCACCAATCTTTTCCACAACGGGCTCATGTGGCTGCAGGTTTTCATTCCAGTCAAGCAGGAGGTCACCTCATTCCACTTGTTTAATCAGTTGCTCTCAGTCTTCAAACTATTGATTGGTTATATGAGATGTGCTCATGAATGGCTGGAATGAAAACCTGCAGCCACACAGGCCCTTTGTGGATAAGACTGGTGACCCCTGTTCTAAGGGGTGTTTGAGCCTAAACTGTTTTTTGAGTGAGGCACAATACAGGACAGCCAATCAGTACAGAGCTCACTTATCTTAAATCGGTTCCAACGGACAGTAAAAAATAGCCTACGTATTTCTAAAGGTAAAAAGAGAAGTTGGAAAATGGTCTTGTAAAAAAATTAATTATGACAATTCAACCACAGAAATATTATAAGTATACCCCAAGGGAAAACTAAAATGCATGAAAAATGTAAGATACAGGGTCTTTAAATGAAAAAATTTTTAGGTGCTACATTGCCTTACAACACCATGGATGTAACGCTCTGCCATAAATGCATTCTAAAAACTATTTTAGGTATTAAGCAAGTGACATTTAATAGCTAGTGGAATTCCTTTTTACATACATTCAAGTTAAACATGTTAACCGCTCCAAAGAAGTCACTATTTTTAAGATACAACAGTTACATCACATCAATGCTCTCTGTAATCAATGAAAATGATCAAACTCGTTCTAGTGACTGGATCACTCTTAAAATACCAAGAACTTTTACTGAACTGGGGGAAATCCACTTTGAGCCACAGTGCACCAGCAAGCTGGAACTTTTTACAGGAATATCTAAAACTCCACTCGTTGATGTAACTTGAGCATTTTGAGCAACTTTTAATCTCTAACCACCTCCACTCAGCCTGCAACTGTTTCAGTTGATTTAGTTTCAGGTTTCTATTAGTTTTTTTGATGTTGTTTTATTTGTTGATTAATTATTTTTGTTGATATTTATTTATTTATTTAGATGTACCTAATAGAGATTTTTGAATGTTTTGATTTGTTAATCTTTTTTGTCTTAAAGTTAAAGCTATTTTTAATTTGTCTTATGTACTGTTTTATTTAAAATATATATATATATATATATATATATATAGGTCTTATTTATTTTCTTTGCCATAGTTTTACTATTATATTGCTATACATTTGCTTGTACAGTGCTCAGCTACATTGTAAATGAGGGTCATGCTCAATGTAGTCTGAGTTTTAAAAAGGTTGGTTGATTGATTGATTGATTGATTGATTGAGTTACAACAAAATGACAGTGACAAAATATATGACAGATACCTGAATGAATTATAATAAAAAAGAAGCAGGGACAGAAATGAAAAGCACAGAAAAATAGCGCTTCATTCCATTCCCACATCCATGTCTATGACAAAGAAAACCCTTTATTTATGTACGATGCATTATTATTACAGCTCTTCACAGTGCCAAGTCCAAAGACCAGCATTTGTCTGGATGTGCAAGTAGGCAGTCAGTATTCCATCCAAGTCAAAGCCATGCCTAATGGATCACTGTACAGTGGGCACTGGAGCGCTTGGTCCAGATGTCTAACAGTACAATTGCCTTCAAACACAGGTACTCAAGCTTTCTCATGCACAATCCAGAAAAACATACAAAAATACCAAAAAGCAGTAGAGTACAATGTTTACCAGCATTTCCACACCCACACAGGATGGCTGTTTATTGCATGTGTCCCATTCAGCTTGCTCATCATTTCCGTCATGATGTTCCCTTTCTTCTCCAGATATGTCAGGTGAGCTTGATGAACACATAAACCATATGATATTCCAGTGTTATACAAAGGCTAACAGCAATTTACTGTGATTAATGTCATTGTTGTGAATTTTTTTCCATCAGTAAGCTGAAGCGGTTTCTATGGCCACCAGTCCCAAACCTTAATGAGATGCTGGAGAGCTTCCTGAAAGATATCAACGGACAACACTGGGTAAATCACATCTTGGAATACTAGCAGTAAACTATATTTGTGGCTTATTTAAGTGGAAATAAACTAGATATTCATGTTGACTCTATCATATCAAACCTATCAACCTTATAATTCCATTTTCTGTCTTTTACATGTTTTTCATAACAAATGGACCAATAGAATTGCACCAAAATTACTTGGAGCAAAATATTAACATACATACATGGTTATGTTAACATACATTAAAATTAAGAACCTTTTTTTCCATCTACTGTAAAATTACCATTTTCGAAAAAACAAGGTTTCAATAAGCTCTTAAAAAAATGATTCTTCAATGTTCTTTAGTAAAGACAATGGTTCCATATAGAGCCATAAACACTCAAAGAATCATTTGATGATTAAATGGTTCTTTGCACTGTAAAATGGTTCTTCTGTTTGATGGTGAATGTGTTGTATATGGCTCTATATACAACCCCCCTTCCACTTTCAAAACTACAGCAAGTGGTCTCCTCAGTTCCTTAACATTTGAAGAGGTGATGAAACACAGTGGTAAACATGCCCCTGTCTCAACTTTTTTGAAACGTGCTGCTGGCATCAACTTCAAAATGGGCATATATTTTTCAAACAACAATAACATTTCTTAGTTTCAACATTTGATATGTTGTCCTTTTCAGTACCATTTTTAACTAAATATAGGGTTTAAATGTTTTGCACATCACTGCAATCTGTTTTTATATACATTTTGCACAGCGTCCCAACATTTTTTGGAAATGTGGATGAAGAACCTTTTTGAAAAGGGTTCTATATAGCACCAAAAAGGGTTCCTCTATTGTTACAAGCCTGATATCAGTGTATGACAGCAACGATATGCATTTTCTCTGATTACTGTAGTCCCTCAATGACGCTCTGTCACTAATCTAGGAGCCCAACTTCAGCACCAAGCTGTGTGATGAAGACATCCCTGCTTCAGTGGTGGAGATCATGTCTGAAGGAGACGCTCATGTCATGAAGAAACCAGCTAACTGCCCTCATTTCCCACAATACGGCTCCTTTGGCTTGGGATGGTAATGGAGAGTGTGCTGTGGATGGGCTGGAGGTGAACCGGGAGTATGTGACCTTAAACACCGTTCTCCCATGCCTGACTGGTAATGACTATGTCTACAAGGTGAATTCTTCATCAGGCCAGGTTGGGGAAAAACTCTTCTCAGTCTATTATACCACCTTCTCAACATCCACCACCAATATCTTCAACCACTCGTATGTGCAGGCTGGGGATGTTGGAGCTCGAATTCCAGCGCATCACTACACCAACTTAGAAAACACAGATACAACAGCTAAGACAGAGTGAAGAGTGAGGACTATGCTAGATTAATATTGCAGCAGGCACTGTTAAAGCAAGGGCACAACCTATACAAAGTTAAAGCCCACCAGATTCAGAAACATGAAACTAGAGTGGAAGGCAGTCAAACCCAGGTCAAGGTTAACCGTCAGAGTTCCTGTCCATCTCTGGGCAGAGTGTAAATACGCACTTCTGTGTTCTCGATCTTGCTGGTTGACTGTTGACCACATCTGAGGTCAAGAAGAACTGTACATTGCGAATAATGTTTGGGAATTCATCGTCTTCAAATTGTAAGTCATGCCGCTTGCAGAAGCTTACCAAAAACTCTGCCACAATAGGCAGTTTCAACAAAACCAAATGAGTATGCAACCTCAAAACTGAAGTGAAAAATATATTTCACAACAGATAAGATCTACAATACTTCCTGAGAAATAAGGAAGACACAATAATCACTCATCTTTCAAACATATCCCTATTATATTTGTCTTATGTATTGATGCACTGTAAAAAGCAATGTAAGTAATAATGTAAGTAGCCTGGCTGCCATAAATTGAGTTTGACTTAATTAACAGTAATTACAACAAACAGTGTGTTATATCTGGTCATTTTACCTTATTTGAAATGTATTACAATTTAAAACATTAAAAACATTTAAGGCAGCCCAGTAAAAGTTAAAATATCAAAGCATTTTTACATTTTCAGTGTTTTGTGAAAACGAGTTTGCTGCATTTGCGAAGCATTTTATTTATCCTGAGTGCAATCAATAAAAGGAGCTTGTAAATATGTGGTTGATATAAAACACATTGCTATAGAGAACAAAGCCTTCTGTAGTAAAGAAAATAAATGCATTCTGCATTTAGCAGTATTTTGTAAGCAGATTGTCTGTATACCAGCGTTTGTATTATTTTCAGAATCTCATTTTTTTAATGTGTATAAACCATACCTCACATTTTGATTAAACTTTGATTTTAGCATAACTATTATTGCTCTCGTTCTTGAATAATTTGTAACATACAACTGACGTTGTTAGATTTTACTCAGTTACGTGTGTGCATATATGTATATGTATGCGTGAGTGTGAAAAGGGTACATATACAGTGGAAGTGGTGCCGTTTTGGAGAGCAGTTGGCTGCACAAATCTGAAATGACAAAGTAGACTAATATTTTGACACTGAGTGCAGCAATAATAGATTCTGAATCAGGAAAAAAAAAAACATACATTGAAAGTGATTTTCAATAGCTTTATTTAAGTTTCTATAATTAACAAAGATCATAAAATAATTGGACATTTGGTCCATAAGAATATGACCAAATTCACACAAATATTCAGACAGGCCTTAAAACCACTAAGACATTACGTGGTGAATACAGAAAAGGGGGAGGCTCGCTCTCCAATAACTAAAATGCTCACTGATCTGTGTATTTTGTGCCCAGAATTTGAGAATTAACAAATGAGAAACTTGATTCAAGGTACATATACTGTCATTCAGAATATTCCAGATGTACCCTTAAGTGCTCATCGGAGCCACTGAGACAAAGAAGCGCATTACTTTGTGCTGATTTCTTGTAAATTTTTGTGGTTCATTTGCATTAAAAGACAATCTATCTACCCCTGGTCACTTCATGTTGAAAGAGATTAGCAAGGCTAAAACTCAAAGTTTACAAAACAGAAACAGGACCCGATCCCAGTCACGGCTGCTTTTAAAAACTTATCTGGGGAAAAGCAAATAAGTGGATGCTCTAGTGAAGGCACCAGTCAGGTTTTCTTATAATGCAATCTTCAGACTTCTGAGCAGGGACTTGGGCAGTTCCGCATCTGGGCCTCAGTCAGCCTTCAGTGCGTACAGCACATCATCCTGGCTGACATTTAAGCGGACGCGAAGCAGCAAGTCCAGACGGCTGGGTTCCAGAAGAAGCAGACGGCAGGCTCCTAGTCTCTGACACACAGCCAGACCCTCAGACACGCTTACTGGCTGCAGTCCCTCCATACGACACAGAGCCTGGTGCTGTACAAACACCTAGCGGTAAAAAGAAATGGGAGAGGAAGAGATTGGACAAACTGTCACTCTATAGGGGCAGAGAGAGAACAACGGTCATTGTAAAGCATTACTTAAGATATTTCATGAGGATACATTGTGCAACGTAATCCACAAGATATGTGATGAAAGATCTGACCAATTTGGTGGTGGGGTGTTTACTACCAGGTTTTGTTATTATATTACTGTGAGGTGGATTGGAACAGGTCTACAGTTTCAGGAAAACACACAATTTAATTCAATAACTCTGGAATCATTGCTGCTTTACTTGGAAAACCTACAATGCAAATTTGTACTGTATTGAAATTCATACTGGATTAAAATCACAGATCTCTACTTGTTCCTCTCCAGGCAAAATTAAGCCAGCTCAAACAAGGCACAAGTGAGTGACTGTAGGGTAAACAATAAGTACCATTTATCTATGCTCACCTGCTGGAATGTGGCTTCTTCTAGACCCAATCTGCGAAACTCTGCAATCACTGCCCTTAAGAAGAGCTGCTCCTGTAGAGAGGCACACCTATAATAAAAAGACTTAACATCAGGGCAAAGAATAGCAAAAGAAAACAAGAAAGAAAAGGTAAAGACTGTATGCACCTGCACCCACAAGGACATGCTCACACCTGATAGCCGTGATATAGGAAGAGGAGAACATCTCATCCAAAGCTTCCATCACATGACTCATCCCAACCAATTTGGTGCCACCCTGTTGACTGGAGTGCTCACAGATCTCTGTGGCCCGCCTGCAAATATCTAAACAGCGCCGGGCATCACCTGACAGGGCTGCCACCTGGGGTTGAAAGGTAAAGCCCAGTAATCAACAAAACTGAGAAGCAGACACATCCTGTTCCTGAAGCAGAACGATAACATTTATTCATCTCTGCTGTTAAAAATGTGGCTTTATGAAACAAGTTTTCTAAATCCCTGTTGTGCAATGCTCTGTGGCTGACTGCCCATACCTTTCTTGAGACTAGCTGAAGAGCGTCTTCCTCAAAAGCCTTTACTCTATTGAGCCGAGATGTGATAATCTGCTGCAACTGCTTAAAAGTGTATGGCTGGAAGGACATGCGTGTCAGCCCCTGGAAATACACATACGCCGAGTACTGCTCATTAACAACAAAACATTGTGTGGATAACTTAATAATTAATAATTAATTAATTTCACTCTGGTTAAAACTCAGAACCCGAGAGACGTACCAGGCGACTTGCCACACGGTTCATCATGATCCTCTCAGGCAAGTCCATCGTGTTAGCGATGGTCAGCACCACCAGCCGAGCATGGCGTCTTGTTGGCCAGTCAAACAAATTATACATGACGTTCTGTTTCCTGGTCCATAAAAGGTCCAGCTGGAAAAGGTAGATACAGACAATAAATATGGTTAGTGTGTATCTTCAGCTACATGCAGACACCTAAAGTGACAAATCAGAATTTTTTCAGAGAAAAACCACAAAGCTTGACACAAAATTTGATACACACATATGGAGGTGCGATCACACTACTGACATAAATGAGAACCACCAAGCAGGGGTAGACAGATAAAAGTTTCACTTGTCACACAGGCCACCGTTCAATGAATTATGTGGTCAAAATTAAGAATTTGTGGCCCACACACACACACACACATATATATACACACACAAAAAACACTGGAATGTGCTGAACTCCAGCAATATACCATTGATACAGATTCAGTCCAATCAATCAAGCAAATTTTCAATCTTCTTCTCAAATCATTTTCTAGAGACTGCACCTAAACTGTCCACATATCTGTTCATTTCTTTTGTGGTCATTCGGGTTTATTCGGCTTAGTCTTTATTCACCTGCAGGGTTGGAGCTGCAGCAACTTCATATTAATAAGAACATACTGAGTCCACCCTGACAATGATAACAACAAGCCTTAATATTGACAGTAACCATTACAGGAACCCACCTCATCCACCAACAGCACTGTGGTCTCTTTCTTTGGTGCGGGCATACTGAATCGTTTCTCCAGCAGGGCTGCAGCATGATCTGCTGTTGCTTTCTGATTAGTAAGTTTCTACAAAATAGCATCAAAGACAGGTTTAACCAAAGCAGGAACATGACAAGACTACAAAGAGACAAGAGGCATGATGGGCAAAAAATAAAAGGACATGCCCACAGCTGCACACCTGCAGTATCTGGACGTAAGCCTGGTGTGGGTCGGTCATCTTCATGCCATTAATCTCTAGGAACCGAAAATGAGGGATCTCATCCTGCTCCGCCGCCTGCTGGAGAGACCTGATCACCTCGTGCACTGTGGCAGTCTTCCCTGTGCCAGGAACACCTGAGATATACATACACCTGCAAAAAAAAATTCCAACACAGAACATCAGTGAAACCCTTGCTACTCAAACGAGCTGACGTTAGTTAGGTTCGTTGGGGGGGGGGGGCATCATTTCAGTTATTAGAACTAGACTCACCCTCCAGTGCCATCCATGATCTTACTCTCCACAAAACTGTAGATGTCTTGGAACTCCTGTTCTCGACATGGTAGCGACTCAGGAACTGATGACACATGCAACCTATCAGTTGAAGAACAAAAGCAAAAAAACGTACTGCTTATTGTTTGTATCTGTTGAAAGTATTGTAGAACCGACTGGAGAGGGATTTGGCTAGATTTTCTCTTTTAGCACCACCTTGAGGATAATCTCTCAAACTGGTAGTGATTTAGTGGGAGGAGTGCAACCTATAAACAATTTATATCCATGGTTGGGATTTCATTTGTGTTGCTAAATTTCTCAGATAGCTAGATAACATAAACCAAGAATGTCTAACAGATGAGGTAAGGAACATGCACTTGAGAGGCTGAACTTTCAGCTTACAATTTTATGATGTGACCACTGGAAGTCAGCTGACCAATAATACAAAAGGAAAAAATGTCTGAATGAGTTCCGACACCTTGGTCTTTGGTTTCATGACTCCCTCACCTTGCCCTGGCCTCCTCTAGCACATTCCCAGGCGTCCTGGCCGGCAAACTTCTGGTGGGAATGCTGGGGGTTGCATGACGAGGCGTCCGAGGAGTAGTAGGAGCAGTCTGACAATTTATTTAATTAAAAAAAAAAAATTAATTATTAATTACATTTATTGAATTCACACATTGTGAATACAAATATGCCATTATTGTTAACTATGTGTGCCACTGAAATTTTGACAGGGTATGATGATAAAATTTGCCTACTTAGCTCATTGTGCAGGTCACAAGAAGCAAAACTAACCTGCTAAACAGCAAATATGCATACCTGTCAAGTCCTGTCAAGTTCTTAAGAACTGCTGGATTACTGTGAGACTCCCAATCTCCCAAAAGGAGCACTGAGAAGTTAAAACCATGGGAAAATATATCTTCTAGAGCTCTACATTACAAGTGTGTTACAAACTTTACAGTGTGTAGGCTGTAAGATATTAGAATACAACGCAGAGCAGCCTGCACACTCACACAACCAGTAATAGGCATTCCGACTCTTTAGTGAGCCTGCTCAGTTGAGCCCCTTGAACGAAAAAAAAAAAAATTGACCATTCCACCCTATTTTATTTTATACAACATTTTATATTAAAACCCAAATCATGCTTCGTTTACCTTTTAGTGACCATTTTATTTTAAATACAGGGCATCAAACAATGCCACACCATGCTTATATGATTTTCATAGAAAAGTCACATATTCTGTTTTTTTGTTGCAAGGGCTAATTTGGCTCAGCTCACCAGTATGAACCAAAACAGCTCATTATTCAGTAGCATGAACAGTTTTTTATCAATTCCAAAAGTTAGCGATATTACCAACCATTTAATTGTCTTGGTCTACCTTCTAATTAAGAAAACTTCAATACATTCAAAACTGACATATTACAGTAAGAAATGGCTGTCCAGCAAACATGCTTGCAGGCCAAATTGATAAGAACTGCTAAGACACAAACTTTGTCTTGATAAGACACAAGAACACAGATGAAATCAAAGAAACTGCTAGAAAGAACATCAATTTTGAATGACTGAAAATGTTTGTTACTAATGTTGTTCTGCTAATCACTAAGAACTTGAACAATGTTATCTAATTGCAGAATTGAACATCCCTACTATGTGACAGAAGGGAATAAAGGAAAGAGGCAGTAAAAAAAAAAAAAAGGTCATATTTAGTTTATATCTGATCAGGAGCACAAGTGCTCCTTTGCCAAAAGCTGCTCAACTGATGCCAGTAAACCATGCCACCACATTTGCTGCTATAGCACTCTGTACCTTCTTGCTGGGAGTTTTGCGTGGGGTTCTTGCAGATGCTCGGCTGTTTACAGCTGCACGTGTTGTTTTCGAGCCTGCTGTGCGCCTGCTCTTCTTCACAATCAGCTCGTCTTCACTGTCCATTTTCACGTCCTCTTCCTCATCACTGCTGCTCTCTAGGTCAATCTTAGTAGGAACGAAGCAGTCATCATCATCAGCATCTTCACCATCCGACTGCAGCTCATCACGGCTACTCAGCAGATCCCTACAATATAATAACGAAACACTTTTATTTAAAGGGTGTTGATTACCTTTGTGAAACAAACAAGAATACTTGAGTAGATGGTAAACCCACAACAATCAATCTGAAAACATACAGCTGCTTTCTGATGTGGGAGGACACAAGCTGGGCTGACTTCCTCTTTGAGCGGGGAGTAGCAGTAGTCTGTATAGGAGAGTCTTCATGCTCTTCTTCAGCCCTGAGGGCAGAACAACACCACTAACTGAAGAATTACTAAGCCTAATCAGAGTTTCATAAGACAGAGAATAGCATGAAGGGCCAGAGTTAATGGCAAAATTTGTATTTATTACGGAATCAACAGAACATTTCCATTTACACTGGATCTATGATCCAGTCTTCACATTGTGGACATTGTGGGAAAACGCAACAGACTTTAGGCAAGGAGAAAAAACAGATTTATTGCTCAAGTGAACCTAACTTTATAACCTGTATGAATATTCATCTAAAACAGCACAGATAAGATTTCTGGACACTTACAGCACAGTAAGAGCCGGCTCCTTGACTGTAGTAGACTGTCTCCTCCTGGATGGTGTTCTAGACAATACAAAGATATGATAGCATGACTGATTTCATCATCACCTGATTAAAATGCCAAGTCCTTTTAAAGACACTCAGTGTTCTTCTTCCTCTTGAGGCAGAAGCAGTTTTTTTCCTTTTTTAAATTTATTTATTTATTTTTTTAATCGAGTTTGTGGACCCAAAACTAAATCCCGCAGATGGATGGAAACAATGAGCATGTTTACTTGCACACCAATTATATGATCATTATCCAATTTTGGCAGTAATCCTATTATTCAAGTGATCATGTAAACACCATACTCGGAGATCTCTTAAAACAGAGTAAAAGTGTTACTGAAATTCAAAATAGATTAGCTCAGAGAACTAGTTTCTCAGGACACCCCTAATCTGTTTTCTATTGTTTTCTACATCTGAGCAGGTTAAACACAGAACCAGATTGAGATACCAGGGAAAAGTAAACAAACACTTTGCAACAACGAAATGGTGACAAAACACATTATGTATAATTTACAAGCACAAGAACTCCTGAATGAATATTTATTAGTAAAGGGACTCCTTAAAAATAAAACTGTGGCAAGATGTTTAAATTCTGCATCACATGCTGTGCTTCTTTGGAGAGTTTACTGAAGAGTTGCCACAGAAGAGGTGCACATTGTGGATTTAGAAAGAAACCTGACTGTGCTACTCTAATACACCAGAAGTTCTTATTATCAGATCACTAAAGTGCTTTTAAACAGGTTTATGCCAAAATGTGATTTTCTGCAGTTATTAAATATTGTGCATGTAAACATACTCATTCATACTGGAGCCAACAGTTAAGCTGAAAGTAGTTATAAGAAACTTAAATAAGTGAAAGTTTAACCATTTTAGGCAAAGCAACCCATGTGTGTTCCAAAAGCAGCTTTTGGAAATTAGCAAAACGTGCCCTAAACTCCATCACCACGTGTGCAATGGCCACACTGTCCCTCTGCTTAAATCACCATCAAATGGGGGTGAAAATCTTACTTCTGCGCCCTAAGGCTGGTTCTCCTTGGTGTGGCCTCTCTCTTACGAGGGGTCCTGCCTTTGCTGGCAAGTGCAGGTTCTACCTCAAACACATCATCGTCCAGGGGCTGGACCCCAAGAACGTCCCTGAGAGGGCAACGGCAAGCTTAAAACTACACTTTTGGTGTACATTTTGTGGCAAAGGCTTTTCCTTTACACCAGTCAGCTTGTCCCCAATTTATCACTGGTCTATTCAAGTATAACCTTCTAACAAACAGAAAATCCAAAAACCTAGGAAAGGGTGTATAAATGCACTCTCTGTGGTTATACACAGCACTCAAAGGCTAACCTGCTGGAGGTGTTGGCCAGTGCAGTTGGGGTGGGTTTAGCAGGGCTATCCAGAGCCTGGACAGAAAGATGCTCCTCATCAGTGGAAGATTTTGAAGGCTTTTGAAGTGGGGTCAACCTAATAGTGATCGAAATATGACGGGGTGGAGAACTGCCCAGTTTCGTGGCCAAGTCTTCCTCTGTGCCCTGGTCTTCATCCAGTATCTCACCAAGAACATCATCTCTAGTCAAATTCTTACTTGGACCTGGTGAAAGCAAAACAGAGAGCACTTCAATTCCTTTAGGCTGCATATAAATGTCTAATCACCCAGTGTACTATGCTGGAGACCCTAGAAAAATGGTATTGTATAATTTTTTTTTCATTTTATCTTTGTAAGGCCAGTATATGCTCAAAACGCACCTACATAAAACAATGTAATGTTGTAATTTACGTTTGAATTCTTATTTGCAACAGCACTCAAAAAGAGGAGAAAAAAATGCAAGAAGTTTACAAACCCACACACACATATTTACACACATCTCACAAACACATTTAAAACCACTGGGTCTAAGAAAAATCGAATGGCACTCACTGCAAAGGTCCAACTTCTTGCGAATGTTTGGATTCGAGGAGACTCTACTTCTCCTCTTCATATTCAGCACTTTGGCGGCGGAGAGTTTGGAAGCAGAGTGGGCTGACTCTGCCTCACTGGAGCCCATCTTGCCCGTGCTCATGCTGCTGCGGGTGTGGACGCCAGTCATGGCCCTCTTCATTACAGTGGGGTCTGGGGTGGGGAGAGCACGAGCTCGGGGTGCATGCTGGGAAGGTGGTGGAGATTTGGGGCTCTGAGCAGGCTGAAACAGCTCAGCATCCATTTCTCGAAAAGCTTTTGTGTCCCATAAAAGTTTGACAAACAGAGTGTCCTTGTTCTCATGATCTGGGAAAGGAGCCTCAAAAGGAATATGTTTAACCTAGATGTGAACAGGAAAAACAAACACTACTCAAAGACAAATAGCACAGAACAAAAAGGGGGTGAAGCTCATCACCTACAGATCAATTCTCACAGATGCACTGTACTGTAAATAGCTCAGTACAGGCCTGACATCAGACAGCAGGAGACCATTTTTATAAGTAACATGGTGCTGATCACTCAGTTTAACGATCACTCAGTTTATTTTTCTGTTGCAACATGAGCTATAGGCTAACGGAGCGGTCACATGATATACCACTTGTTCAACTTTATATACACATACCTGAACTGTTCCTAGAATTGTCTCAGCATCCACCTCATTGTCACAGGAGCGATCCTGGTAGTAAAAGATTTCTTGAGGGTGAGGTGTCCGGCCCAGGACCTTTCTTTTGTTCTGAGGTATTTCACACATACGTACAAACCACTGCACCACTGCTTTTTTCTTATTACCGGAATCTAGAAAGAATAAGATGTTATTAAGCATGACATAGGTAATTGACTGAACTTTACATTGCAACTAAAGCGATCAGAGTGAAAGTGAAAGGTAAAAACAGAGAGACAGGAGCAAAAGTTGGTTACCGTCACAAAACAGCTTCAGAAGCTGTGCAACAAAGGGGTTGTCATCATCTTCTCCCTCGATCAGTATGTACTGGCCTACAGACACCACTGCCTTGCCTGGCCTTCTGTCTACGGCTATAGACAAAGACCTGCGGAGTTTAAGTGTGGGGGAAACGTTAATATAACTTCGTAAAGTTTAAAAAACTGTTTAAATCAGGTCTGCTGGCTGGCTGTCGAGCCAGCTAACCTAGCTACTTTGGCTAACAATTACTGTCACAAAAATAAACGACATACCCATAATACATTCTCTTCAGTTTTCTGTCCTCACTTGTCGGCTTGCCTTCCCATCTGTAAGTCCTTCGCACACGTAGCTTGGTGTAGTAGCCACTCATTTTGCTGAACTGCCGAAAATGAAGCCCAAAACTGCTATTAAAGACCATTAAAGACCCGTTTTAAGCTAGCGTTAACTAGCTTAGCCGTGTATTACTTGCTGCCCATACCGCTGAAGACAACGGAGTGACCTCCATCTCACACTTACCTTCAAGTGATCCTCTGAAGTGTATTAAACCTCCTAAATAGTTCGCATGTAGCTTGTACTGATATCCCGACTCGCTGGAAACACAATAAAAAAAGCTACAAAACTAACGAAACTGTGAGCTGCCTTCGTCAATCTGCCCAAACCCCACCGGTGCCTTAGGACACGACACGAGTTTTTCCCGCGAAAGAAAAAAAAGATTTGCATACTGATATATCATTGGACCAATGGGGTTCGTCCACGCCCACTGACCCGATGACGTTGATGTATCGCAGTTTGAAGCTCAGTCACTCTCGTGTATTCACATAAAGACGTGTTGTTTGTTTTTCGTCTGTGGGTAAAACACATATATTTTGGGATCAACTATCTTATACTTTAAACACAGTTTCACAGTCACCAACGCAAATTTAACAACAAACGACCGCTACTGCTCTTTCTTTGTTTTTTCAACAGGACGTTCAACTGCTGTCACGAGAATATTACTTGAAATGTGTTTACTCTATCTGTTTGCTGACAGATAGATAGATAGATAGATAGAAGTCAATGAATAGTTTCTGGTATTTGTACACAATTTAATCTAAAGGAAAGACCCGTTGAAATTCTGCTTTGTAAAATACTCACAAATTCGTGCATATATCTGTCAGTTGCAGTATGATTAACCCAGACTTTAAGTTCAGGGCTAACTCAGCTCCCTACATGTTTATATGTACCACATTCTCATAAATAAATAAGTAAATAAATAAATACAAACACTAATCTAAACATACACCAATTGTTCTGTTCAAAGGTTTTTTTTTCATGAAATTCAAAATTGAAAAGTTACTTTTCTATTTACACCGTTTCTAGCTGAATGGTCATGAATTTGTGATCATGTTAAAGCTCAGTATTTACCCCTGGTCAGTGTACGAGTTCACAATCACCAGTTGTGTTTTTTACTGACACACCTGCAGGGGTTCAGTCCCGAAGTGGCATCTGGCAGCAGGAAGTGGCAACTCCGCCGTCCGGAAATGGCACGTACTGGCATGTGCCACTTAGCGAATGGCACCTCCCACCGATAACTGGTAACGAGTGGCACATGCCACTCGTGCCACTTGCCAGTGGCACCTGCCACACAGAAACGGCGTGTGCCTCTCAAAACAGGCACATACCAACAGCTCCTGTGAGTAAAGCAAAGACTCTGGACAGCGGCTACTCGGCTCGGCTAACTAGCGGCACATCATAGCTCCACCATCGGCCATCAGAACCTGGGAAAAGTCATGGAGGAATGTTGACCTAAAGACTCTGTGCAGATAGTCTGTCATTTTGGGCTTTTGTTGTGGCACGGAGAGCTGAAGAAAGCAGCTCGTGTTACAGATGTACTCAAACTAATTGCTGAATTCATTGTGGTGTTATTCATGCTAAATCTAAAGTATATATAGACTATTTATCAGCGTATTTATTAAACAGGACAAGAGGAACGCAGTGTTCTTGTTTTTATGTATTATTTTTTCAGGAGTGGCACTAGCCATTTACTGAGGGTAAAGGCACTGGCATGTGCCGCTCAGGAGTGGCAATCAGTAGCAGTACTAGCTGCTTATCACACAGTGGACAAAGTTCCAAGGTTTGAAAATAGTTATTGATTAGCCTGCATCACACAGGTAAATGCACCAGTTCAAAGTCTGATCTCAAACGTAAGCAATATTGGTCAATAATTATATTCAGTAATTCTTGTGAATGTGTTCCTGTTACTAATTTCGGAGTTGCTGAGCTATTGCATAACATTTACAGTTACAAAGCTACCTCGCCACATTTGCCAATATTGTACAGTGTTGTTCTCATGGTATATGGGGTATTTAAAGTTTGAATTATGTGAGTAATCTTAAAGCACGTGCAATGTAAAATAAAAGGAACTGTACTGGTACATTTTTTTAAGGTACAATGTAAATTTAACCAATTGTGTTAAATATGCTTTTCCCAGGTAAAGGTTATATATTTGTTCATTTGCATAATCTAAAATAGAACAATAAAATCAAAAAACAATTAAAAAAAAGTATGTTCAGTCAACGTAGTTGAAATAGATTACGCTCCCCAAATAAATGGTATTCAAGACGTATCTTGAGGGTACCACCCCTGTTACAGTTCAGTATAAACCCCTGTGTATTTAAATCATTAAGTTATCCCCACTTTAACTGATGTAACGTTGAGAGCTCTCGACAGTATGGATGAATATAGGTCAAGGGGGCAATCAGTCCATTTTTTGTCACGTTTTGTGATAGTTTACACTACTGACTCCCTTATGAACAGCATGAGGCGCTATTTTCAAAACTTAGCACTTGTTAACATGTAAATATAATTATCTCCCCCACCACCCAGCAAAATGCTGGCCAGCAGTAAATGGCTAGTGCCACTTCTGAAAAAATAATAAATAAAAACAAGAACACTGCGTTCCTCTTGTCCTGTTTAATAAATACGCTGATAAATAGTCTATATATACTTTAGATTTAGCATGAATAACACCACAATGAATTCAGTAATTAGTTTGAGTACATCTGTAACACGAGCTGCTTTCTTCAGCTCTCCGTGCCACAACAAAAGCCCAAAATGACAGACTATCTGCACAGAGTCTTTAGGTCAACATTCCCAGGTTCTGATGGCCGATGGTGGAGCTATGATGTGCCGCTAGTTAGCCGAGCCGAGTAGCCGCTGTCCAGAGTCTTTGCTTTACTCACAGGAGCTGTTGGTATGTGCCTGTTTTGAGAGGCACACGCCGTTTCTGTGTGGCAGGTGCCACTGGCGAGTGCCACTGGCAAGTGGCACGAGTGGCATGTGCCACTCGTTACCAGTTATCGGTGGCAGGTGCCATTCGCTAAGTGGCACATGCCAGTACGTGCCATTTCCGGACGGCGGAGTTGCCACTTCCTGCTACCAGATGCCACTTCGGGACTGAACCCCCTCTCTGACACACTGCGCTCTTCACCATAGACTTCCACAGAGCGGTTCTCTTGCACTCCGCTCTGTAGGGGGCAGCAATTCACCCCAGCACTCAGCGTACCATAGAGCTCGAGAGGAAGTGCTGCAGCTGTTTTCCGCCCTGGACGCGTTTCATTCATCTCTATTTTGGGGCGATGGCGAACAGAACAGTAAAAGATGCGAAGAGTATACACGGAACAAATCCCCAATATCTTGTGGAGAAAATTATACGAACTCGAATCTACGAGTCTAAATACTGGAAAGAAGAGTGTTTTGGACTTACAGGTATGAAGGATGTGCTATGCTGGCTAACGACGCTAGCTGGTCTGGTGTTATGCTAGCTGCTATCTAAGTTAGCTGAACGGGACGTTTGTCCCAGTTCACTGTTTTATTAATTAACTTAGTCATTCAGTGATTTAGATCATTAACTAGCAACGAATTCTTGATTAATTAATATACAGCTAACTGGTGGCTTTCAGAGTAATCTTTAGCAAACCTAAAAGTAACTGGAGTCAGAGACATTATAGTTAATTAACCTGAACCCGAAGTTCAACTCTGTAAATGTTTTAAAGTGACCTGTTTGCCCAATATGTCATTGTACACTTTTTCGAGAACGATAGTTTATTTTTTGGTATATGTATTTAAACATAAATACATTTGTTTTTGACACTTCACACTTCTCTTTCCCCTCGTGATGCTTATTTTTTTTTATCTTCTTCAAGCTGAGCTTGTTGTGGACAAAGCAATGGAGCTCAAGTTTGTTGGTGGAGTGTATGGTGGAAACATCAAGCCCACACCTTTCTTATGTTTGACTCTGAAGATGCTCCAGATTCAGCCTGAGAAGGACATCATTGTAGAATTCATCAAAAATGAAGATTTCAAGTATGTGGTTTTATTAATTTATGATCTGACATTGCTGCCTATGTATTTGCTAATTTGTTATGATTTTCTTGTAGCTGGGCCCAAGAACCTTGCACATAATCCAAATCCATGTTTCCCCCCTCCGGGAATTATAATGGCTACAGTGTTTTGAGACAGTAGGTCAGATTGCACCATATGACATGTGCTGCCCAGCTGGAAGAGTACAAAGCAGATCCAGATGCAAATTTATTGTGGCGTCGTTCATGCCTGTGTTCTGTTTCAGTTTAGTTATTCTTTCCATAGCTTTTATTTAGCTGTTTTACAGATTACACGCTACTGACCTTTCATTATGAAAATTCCTAAATGTGTCTGATATAGGATGACCCAAGCAAAATGGCCAGATGTACTTAAGTTTCTAATATCTGTTAGAGTTAATAAATTCAAAGTGAATGTCCAATAACGTATTTCAAAATGGAAGCAGAAATTGTCTCAGCAGGACGGGCAGTGCTGAGATGCTCTGCTTGTTGGATTATGTGGGTGCATATGCCTATAAGTCATTCACATTTGTGTTTTTTTTTTTTTGTCCAGATATGTCCGCTTGCTTGGAGCAACGTATATGCGTCTGACAGGCACATCTGTGGACTGCTATAAGTATTTGGAGCCCTTGTATAATGACTACAGAAAAATCAAAATCCAGAATAGAAATGGAGGTAAGCCCCATGTATATTGAATGAAGCTGGTTCATGATTTAGCAACCATGTGAAATTTGCTAAATCTCAAATTATTTTGTTTCCTCAGAATTTGAGCTAATGCATGTGGATGAGTTCATCGATGAGCTGCTTCATGCAGAGCGAGTGTGTGACGTCATTCTCCCAAGGCTTCAGGTGTGTTTATCTGAATTTATTACGTGGGTTTAAGCATGTGCTGCATGGGACTGATTATATGTGGGTTTAAAGGTGTGATCTCAGTGGTACTGATGCTGAGTGTGATCTTAATAGAAGAGGCAAGTTCTGGAGGAAGCTGAGCAGTTAGATCCTCGTATCAGTGCCCTTGAAGAAGACCTGGATGAGGTGGAGTCCAGTGAAGAAGAAGACGAAGAGGAGGAGAAGGTATTGTTGTAATATTCAAGTTAGGGCTGCATAATATGGACCATATATGATGTGGACAAAATATTGTATTGTGATTATGTTGCTAGATATTGCAATTGCAAAATGCACACTGCAGATGCCTTGATGTGACGACTACAAAGAGCAGGCTGCATATATAATTGCATTTCTTGGATCATGTCAGTGCCTTGATTCATCAAAACACCAACAGAAACTCATCTGAAATATATGAGATCCTCAGAACACAATAAAAAATGTGATTTAAAAAAATGTTCATTTATGTATCACAGATTTTCGCAATATCCGTAATGCAAGATCAATATTGCAATAACACTTAGCAAACAAGATATTGCGCAGCTCTAATTCAGCTTGCTTTAAATAATTCCACTTGAATGTTCTCAACAAAACTAAATCTAACTAAATCTGCTCAGTCCTCTTCCCTGTTTATGATTCGGAGAGACACCAACTAACCAAACCACATATACGGGTCCCATTTGTCAAGTTAAACCCATTAGGGCAGTGCTTCTCACTCCTGGTCCAGGAGTACCACTGCCCTGCACACTGTAGTGTTTTCGATGCTTTAACAGACTCGACCCAGTTTAAGAGCTAATTAACAAGACTCTACTGAATTGAACTGGGCAGACTAGAACAGAGGAAATACTAATGTATGAAGGACCAGGAACCACTGCATTAGGAAGTTTTCAATGGAGATGATTGAAACAAATCTTTAGAAACATGTTTGTAAGTTCTCCATCATTTTTGCATCTGTAGCCGGAGCGAGTACAGACACCGGAGCCACACAGACGCAGTTACAGAGATATGGACCGCCCTCGCAGGTCTCCCTCTCCACGCTACAGACGCAGCCGCTCACCTAGAAGGTCAGTGTGCAGTAAGACCTTTGAGAGTTCTTGTTAATTGTTTACTAAACTGATTTTCCATTTCGAAACAAGTTTTGATTGTAAGGTCAAGACTCACTTCTATTTTTACTGTTGTATGTAAATGTATTGAATCTAAAGGGATATCCTTAAACACTAAACCGATTGGTTTGGCGTAGATAATTAAAAGTTCTCAAATAGGACCTTTTTAATGCGTGTTGTCAGTCCACTTAACAACAAAAGCCAAAAATTGCATCATTTAGAATTTATAAGCAGCTTCAGAAAGAAACCCTAGTCATTTGAGTGTGAGTTTGCATAACCTCTCTGCCCTCTTCACCCATTTTATGCTGATAAAATGCACTTAGATGGCTGGTGTTTATATAGACCCTTGGAAAAGACAGAGGGCGTATTAACAATATAGTTTTAAAATGTGATGCACTGTGTCAAATGTTTATTTCTCTGATTTTATCATACTATACACTCAATGCCTTAATATGTTAGACAAGTAGATGTTCATGCCTTTGAGAGGTGTATGTTCTTTAGCTACAAGTGATTGTTCCTACACTATATGAAAAGTGAACCAGCTATCTGTACTGTTGAGCATGATGAAGTAAAACATATACTGCATAAAAGTGTCTTGGCCCTTTTTCATTAAAGCTCCATAAATGTGCAGATTTGATAGTGATAGTGTTAAAACGTTGACGACTCAAAAGAATAAAATGTGAAATAAACAATGTCTTCTTTTTTTAAGACGGTAGAATGGTGTGATTGTGTAGTAGGATCAGGCAATATAACCTTTTATTATTATTGTGATAAATTTTATTTTGATAAACAGTATGTGTCCGTACATCACAGTGTAATTTATCTTTAAATGGAACATGGAACAGTGGGATTTGTTTTTACCATTGTGCTTGTCAAATAAGTACATTCATTTTTGTACTGAACTGCCATGTGCACAAATTATTAGTATTATTTTTATTATTATTTTCTTTTTTTTGTTATTCTTACATGGTATTATAGAAGATATTGATATTTTTGGTTAGTCAAATTAAAATCAAGCATTTATCAAATCAATTTAAATACCCTCTTACCAAACAAGAGTTTGATCAAACAGATACGCCAAAGATGAAATTGGTGAATAATAAAACTGTTGGTGAAATCAAACTATCAGATTTTAACATATGCAACTTTGATGAATAAGGGCTATTGAGTTTAAGACAGTTAACGTCTGAATAACCGATTTAACTTCATTTTCTTCTTACCTTCATACAGACGAAGCAGATCACCCAAGAGACGAAGGTACACATGTACAGCAACTCCATTCTTCTCATTTATACTTGCTGCATGCATGTTTCACATTCTTTATATCACATAATAAAGATATTAACTCTATAAAATCAAGTCGCAGCACACGTTTGTCATTATGTTGGTCTTGAGCTCTCTTTGTTTGCTCCTGCAGCCCATCCCCAAGACGTGAGCGGGACCGGGATCGCCACCGCAGCAAGAGTCCCCGTAGACACCGCAGCAGGTCCAGAGACAGGAGGCATCGCTCCAAATCTCCAGGTACAGATCAGCTCGTATTTCTGCTCTGTTTTTACTGAATTTCAGTTCAGTAAATAGAAGGGATGATTTCAATGTAAGAATTAATAATAATGTTGCTATTATTTCATCATTATGTTAACACATCTGCATGGTGTTATTCCAGGTCACCACAGAAGCCACAGGCATCGCAGCCACTCAAAGTCTCCAGAAAGGTAATTGAACACTACTAAGGAATGACTCAGTACACATAGCACTCGAAGTCCAACCAATTTGGAAAATGTTTTTGTTCATATATGGAGTCCTGATATTGATTATTTTTCTCTTTTCTACAGTCGATCAAAGAAGAGCCACAAAAGGAGTCGAAGAGGAAATGAGTGATTTTCCCTTTTTGTAAAAAAACAAAACAAAAAAGATTCAAGTTGTCACTCTTGTCCTGACCAGATTGAAGCCACAGATGTTTTTGAAGCTATATGCCCTTTAATACAGATAATTTTGAGTGATTACGTTTTTCCACTATAACAATTTCAGACAGTTTATTATTAAAGTATATCCCAGCAATCCTGCAGAGATTTGTTGTAATAATAGGTTCATCCACACGTCTGTGTCAATAATGAAACTGTTTTACTCAAATAAACTATTGTGTTACTGTAATAGTACATGTTGGTTTCTTCACTGGAGCAGCAAGTGTTGTGTTAAAGGTGTTTATTAATAAATTGGCTTAAAATGGTGCACATCACTACTGAATCCCACATACTCCACACTGTGATGTAATGCATGAGAGTAACCAAGGGCTCCTTATTAATTACTAACTCTTCAAATATTGTCAAATTATTTCCCATTAAAGGTTTCCATGTGAAATGTGTTGAAATGTGTTGAATAGTTCACAGTGGTAGTGATTGGCACCAGACATCTGAAGATATTTATGCCTCTAAAAGCTCCCACACAGAAAGCTATTACACTAGACCGTTACAAATACTGTGCCTGGTGACATTGTTTAACAATAGTTGTTGGCTTAAAATGTATCAAATCCACTCATTGTGGAGAAGTAGATGCAGGGTGTTGTAAGGCATTTTTTTTGGATTTGCTACTGTTTTACCATTATGAACATTACGTTTAAAAACGAATACAACACGTGTAGGTTCACTGCTCGTTTTGGATAGTAAGTAAATTGCTTATATTTGTGTTTGGATAAAGGGACCGGAACTATCACCACTGCAAAGAAACCTGAGATTGTAAGTTTCTCTACAATGCATCACTGAAGACCAAAACCCCGACTTTGCTTACACATGACGCTTGAATTCTGCAAAGCTGTTGAAAAATCGGCAGAATAAACCTTTAAATCACTTTTAAAAACCCATCAGGCGTAAAAGACTTTTATTGTGAAAACCAACCCTTGCGGCAACCATAGAGTAATGGCACAGTTGGTGCCTTCACTCTCATGGACGTCCAGCCTTCCCATGCAAACAGCCGGCTAAAGACTGTTAGCTTTCGGAGATATCATGTGAAAATATCTCTCTGAACATGAGTGCCGTCGACACTTAAACAACAGTACCGGTAAAATATTTCAGTCTACTATGCATAACGAGTGAGTTCATTTTCTACACAGTGAGCATCAGCAACATAACGTTCACCTGAGTTACCACAGGAAAGGTGAACTGTGTTTGGCTAGCTCGCTAACCTAGCTAAGTTAGCCCACAGTGGAGTAGCTTACCATTTCACACAGAGTGGCTCTTAATGCTGGTGCTGTAAGATATTCTTTCACTGTGTCACAGCAGAAGGTGAGCTTTTTGTGCTTCAGCATTTTGTCACTTTTTGAAAGGCAAATTTTCCTCGACTCATTTGGTGTCGCCAAAATAATTAACTCACTCAAGGTAATGTTGGGGCATTTGGAGGCGAAGCAGGTGTTTTAGAGCAGAAAAAACATGAAACTGGGCACTGGATATGGGAAACACTGGCCTAAATCAGTGCTTTTAAACTTCAGTCCTGAGGACACACTGCTTTGCACAGTTTCATGTATTGCCTGCCCTTCTGTATCTGATTCAGCAGTTCATCATTATGTAATTATCAAGCTCTTGCTAAGCAGGGTTAGGTGTGTTAAAGCAGGGAATACTTTAAACTGTAACCTAACTGTACGGGGGTTCACAGGGCTGCAGTTGAGAACCACTGGTCTAAATCAGGGGTTCTCAACCTTTTCCACCTCAAGTCCTGATTATTTATAATTTGAAAGAATTAGATTAATTTTTGGGAAATTGCTGTGCTTGACAGCTGTGCTTGAGTGCCTACTTCAATATGGCGTGTATCATTAAACCTAAAATATTAACAAAGTGGTGGCAAATGAAGTGAAATGTTTCTACAGCACAATTTTTTACACTAGTAGTCACTCGAGAGTGGACAGTTCAATGTCAGGGGGAGTGTGTTTTGTTTCTAGAAGCAACTTTTTTTGATATTTCTTTTTTTTATTATTAATTATTTTAGCCGCTTATTTTTATGTAAGTGCCATTACTGGCCCACTATGCACCACTGACTCCCTCTCAGTATTGGCCCATGGCTGTCTAAGGTGGCAGCCCACTGATTGAGAAACTCTGGTCTAAGTGACTGCAGTGCTGACTGTCTGATTGTGTGCAGGAGCAGGCAGCAGCTGTAAGGGATGGACACCTGGACGCCCAACCCACGGGCGAAGCCCTTCATCCCTCGGCAGCAGCGCAGCTTCTACCTTACATGGAAATACAAACTCACCAACAAAAGGGCCATCCGCAGACTCTGCCAGGCAAGCACACACATTTCAGGCTTACTGTAACTGAACTTAGATAACTTTGAAGGTCTGACAACACAAACAGCAGTAAGCACAACTAATAAAATCTTTTGACACCATGTGCAAATGACCAGTGTGCAACCTATAAAACATGTAAAAACATGTACGTATTAGTAATAATTATTTGGCTATATATGGCTGTATGTTTAGTGGTTTTTAAAGTTACATCCTCTGTATTTTGCCTTAAATGATATTGGCAATGCTTAGGCTTTTGTATTGTGATTCCAGGGCTTATGCTTTGTTATTATTATTATTATTATTATTATTATTTTCTTTCTTCAGGCAGGAGCAGTGTTATTCTTGTTGGTTACAGTACTTGTGAATATAAAACTTATTCTTGACACAAGAAGAGCTGCAAGTGAGGAAGATGCCACACGGGACTACGGTAAAGACAGTCAGACTTCAGTACTGGCCAGTTATTTCTTTGATAGGTCATCATGTCACTTAAAGTTGTCTATGGTTAGACAAGTCAGGCCTTTTGTGTTCTATAAACATGTGCTGCTAAGTAACCTGCTTAGTGTGGAACCAAACTATCCTAAAGACTTTTCTATGTCATCTAGAACATAGTTTTTCTGGAATTCAAGATTGTAGTAGACACAGTTATGGTTGTTTTGATTCTCATTCATGCTCCCATTATATTTCCCAATTTCCTATCATTGAACAATTTTTCAGATGATGCCTTGGCCAACATGGAGACCCCACGAAGACCGGCCAGTGGGCGCAAGGTGTTGGACATTGAGGTGTACTCTAGTCGCTCCAAGGTGTATGTGGCAGTGGATGGTACCACAGTAAGCAATTCTTGGTCTTTAAGTCTTTTTTTTTATTTTTTTTTATGACATACCCTTTTCCTTTGACAGACAAACTGTTTTTGGCGTAGTATTTAAGCTCCAAATTCTACTGCGTCGTTCAAGAGAAAAACTGTCCTATATCAAATGAGCATGCTTTAAAGAGATATTATTTAATCAAATTTTACTGAGTTTTTATTGAACAAATATACTGTGGAAAGATAAATCATGTATGGATTTAATCTGTTTTCATTATTTTTCAAAAGGTGTTGGAGGATGAGGTGCGGGAACAGGGAAGAGGCATACACGTCATAGTGCTAAATCAGGCCACTGTAAGTAAAACTTATTTGTGTAAAAACTCCTAATTAAAGCATGTACTGTACTTTGTTTAAAGCCAAAGCTAGTTTGAAAGTTAAAAGTTCCAGAGCTTTTCTATAGCATCTTTGACAACTGCTGTGGTTACTGTATGATGTTGTGATGCGTATTATTACATTACGCTATAATGTGTTGTCTTGCCTGGACAGGGCCATGTAATGGCAAAGAGAGTGTTTGATACCTACTCTCCCCACGAGGATGAAGCTATGATCCTCTTCCTTAACATGGTCACTCGTGGTAGAGTCCTCATCTTCACTATCAAGGTTAAAAGAAATCATAGTCTCTAACAATAGCACGATTTAATTTAACAAACTATTATACTCACATATTATTCTGTTGTGATCTTTATTTTTTTTTTTTGCTGACTAATGTGTGCTGTTACTGCTCAGGATGAGGGAACCTTCCATTTAAAGGATGCTGCTAAAAACCTGTTGAAGGGCCTGGGCAGCCAGGTGGCAGCCACTCTGAGTTGGAGAGATATGTGGGCTCTGGTTGTGAAGAAAGGAGGTAAACATTTTGTGGGCTAAACCAGTGTTTTTTTGGGGGGGGGCTGCCACATTCAGTTGTCAGTGATAGTGATGAAAGAAAGACAACCTGTTGACATGTTGCATACTATACAAAAGAGCTCTAAAAGGCTCTGCAATCATGTGATAGATGCAGTCACTCTGATAGACTGCAGTAATCTACATTAAGCATTTTAGGTCAAAATGGTTTCTGTTTCGGTGTTCCACCAAAAAATTTAGAAATTGTAATTAATGATATATTGAATGATGACAACACTGTATTGGGGGCAAAATGGGACAAAATGACAGACATAATCATTTGATTAATCAGTTAATAACTAATAGATTAATCACTGATAGAAATTTAGAAATTATATATTGATATGTGTCCTTAGGCCAGGTTTATGGGGAGAAGCACTCAAAGTCACCTGCTCTTTCTACCTGGGGAGACCCTGTTCTGCTGAAAACTGAAGTTCAGCTCACTGCTGCTGAAGGTATGGACCCACCTTATTTGTTTGACCTTATTTGTTTATCTTGAAACTGTAGTATTAGTTTTGAGGGCTAATGAGGTTTGAGTTTCAGATTATCCTGAACAACCTAATGATTGGCCAACAGTACAGGATAATTGGGCCAATTTTGAAGCCAGTTTGATGAGATTTCAGGGTTTAACACAGTAGTCTTGACAGCACGTATATGTCTTTGTGCAGAGGCCGAGTGCCACTGGGCAGATACAGAGCTGAACCGTAGGAGGAAGCTTTTCTGCAGTAAAGTGGAGGGCTACGGCAGCATCTGCAGCTGCAAAGATCCGGCACCCATAGAGTTCAACCCAGAACCAGTAAGCTCTTACTAGAATGTCTAGTGTTTCGGAATATATTTAATGTGAAGCCTAAGGACTGGTTGGTTATTGTAGGTATAAAAGTAAATAGTAATGTGCTATTTTATTTGTTATTGTGCTTTGTGCATAGGCAGACAGTAGTACATTGAGATTGACAAGTTGTGTTGCTTAGAAAATACATGTATCCAACATTAAAGTGTTATGTATTAGGTAATAATTTAGCAGTGCTGAGGCATCAGGTTCACTGTGCCTTTGTAATTTGTCTCTTGTCCAGCTACCCAACAATAATGTGTACAATGTCCCAGTTGCTGTTATTGCTGGAAACAGACCCAACTATCTCTACAGGTAAGTACAATGCTGTTTAATTTCCTTGTACCAGTGGCACAAAAAGGTGATAATGTAAGAGCACTCTTTGTGTCTGCAGAATGCTGCGCTCTCTCCTCTCCTCCCATGGTGTGAACCCACAGATGATCACTGTTTTCATTGATGGATATTATGAGGTACCCTTTTATCATCCCTTTTGTCCTCTACATATTTGTCATTTTCTCCCTCTGCACCATTCCCTTTACTGTCAAATTATAAAGGATTCATGTCTCCCTTAAATCTTTCAGTGATTGTTCTATGTAGTCTGTATTTTTTTCCTATTCTGTAATAGGAACCTATGGATGTGGTGGAACTGTTTGGTCTTAAAGGAGTTCAGCACACACCCATCAGCATTAAGAATGCCCGTGTGTCACAGGTGATTTATCAGTGCATGTGACTGCTTCTGTGCATGACCAGTTGGAACTGATTACTATAGTTTGTCATAATAAATAAGAAATGAGAATTTATTAATTTACGTTGATTTTCTTTATTTTTGTAGCACTACAAAGCCAGCCTGACAGCAACTTTCAATCTACATCCGGTGAGTACTGTCTCCCCCAGCTCTGAACAAAACTGTATTGAGGGTGTACCCTGAAAGACCACTGTTTAGCAATGCAGAGGTGTGCTGTAGAGCTAGATTCTATGTGATGTGCTATCCATGACTTTACCTGTTGGATGGGAACACTGTCTAGTTATAAAACAGATCTGGATCCACTTAAATTTGTTTGGCTGAGCCACATTTGGAGCTGTTATAAAATATTCTATATATATACTCAACACGACTGCACACATACATTTAATTCTGTATTAATGACCCAAGTTATGAAAAACCATTGTTCTGTATATGGAATAATGTTTGACAGCCATGGCAACCATGGCCTACTGTTAATGAATTAGATAGCTTTCCAGAAGAATTGAATTATCAGTATTAAATTAAATTGTTTTTTGAACATTGATTGTAAATTTTAATATTGTATTGTCTGCTGTACTTTGTTACTGATTTGTGAGATATGAATGGCATATTGCTTTATTTTATAATATAGCTGCCTGCCAGACTGTGATATGATCTTGTTGCAGTATTAGATGTTCTCCAGTATGTTTCAAAAGTGGAAGCAAGGCCAGTAACTCAAAAAGATAAAGTGGCAGGTTCATACATGTCAAAAGAGACAGGTGATGACCATGCCTACCCAGACTGGTGACATGGGTGTGTGATGGAGATGGGGAAGTTGTGTCGTCATTTGTAGTCAGTGTCATACCCATATCGAAGCTGGATCCTCTGAATATGAAGACTGTTTAGATGTAGAACGTGGTAGTTTGGTTATAGCATGTATGTAGCTAGACTTTTTTATTCAGAGGAACCTGTGATATTTTGGGGGAAAATGTATGTAGGACAAAATATATCTGGTTTGAAGTGTTTAGTTTACTACAGGGCATACTAGCGGCGATTTTCAAAAACACTATTCATTTTTCACATAGAGAAATCTACTTAGACCCTTAGTTCCCACTTTGGGCCTGATGCTTACTACAGAATGACACACTAATTAGGGGATGAGGGAATTAAAAATGTCTTTCAAAATGTTTGCCTGTTTTTGAACACTCATTATTTCATTTTAGGATGCAAATTTTGCCATTGTCTTGGAGGAGGACCTGGATATTTCCATAGATTTCTTCAGGTAAAAAGCACTTTTGGAGTGCTATGTTTGCAGGACATTGTAGTGCTCACTAGAGGGCAGTAAGCTCCCTCAGGAAGGATTGCAGATGAGCTCAGAGCTAGGACTTTAATTTTTTTTGTACTTCAAAAAAAAACAAATCTTAGACAACCAATAGTGCAACAAGCCTTTTTATTGAGAATGCAGCTTTACTCTTCAGGTATTTTAAAGATAAATTAGCATTTATCTGTATCCCCTTTTACCCTTAGCTTTCTCAGTCAGACCATTCATTTGCTGAATGAAGACGAGAGCCTCTATTGTATCTCAGCCTGGAATGACCAAGTGAGTATTGCAGTCATATTTCATCTGAACAACGTATTGAATAAGTCATATGTAGGCACTAGCAAAAAGATCAACCTGATTAGAAGATGGCATCATTTGAAAACCATCCGTCCTTCACATTGTGTGACCATTTCATGATAAGTAAACCAGTAGCATTTTTGAAAAGCAAAGCTTGTAAAAGTTTTACATAGTTTTAAATATTAATTAAATCTTTTCATCCTACTACAAAGTTAATATTTGCAAGCTTTTCTTATGATGAGACTAAAACAAGGAGTGCTGTCAGGTTTAGAGTTCACTTGATTATTGCTATAGACATATAGACATGTTCTAAAGTGGGTGTGAGAGGGTCCATACCAGTCATTTTAATACTATACCAAAGCAGAGGTTGTGTTTTGTGTTTTCAGGGCTATGAGCACACAGCAGAGGACCCTTCACTGCTCTACAGAGTGGAGAGTATGCCTGGGCTCGGTTGGGTGCTCAAAAAGAGCCTATACAAGGATGAGCTGGAGCCTAAGTGGCCCACTCCTGAGAAGGTCAGGAAGCTACAATTAGATTGTTATTGATTTGATATTTTCTGCTTAAATTTTAATAAAAATTTTACACATGCTCCTACATTGAAAAATGAATTATGCTGTGTAATGCACCTTCCTTGAGAAATTCTCTTTTCATCTTTGCTTACCTTTTGCTTTTAAACATGTAAATAATAATTTCCTGTCATTCTTCCCTGGTAGCTGTGGGACTGGGATATGTGGATGCGAATGCCGGAACAGAGGAAGGGGAGAGAGTGCGTCATTCCCGATGTCTCACGCTCCTATCACTTTGGCATTATTGGCCTTAACATGAACGGTTACTTCCATGTGAGTGAGTGTGAATTTTTATGGTCAGTTACAATTACAAGTAGGTTTTCTATTTTTCTTTTCTTTCTTATTTTGAAAAATAAACTGGAACACAGACCATGTTCATGTATAGCCTGCAATAAATCAATATGTTTTCTAGTTAGTTAATAAGTTGCTGCATTGATAATGATTACTTAAATTACTTAAGACTAGGTAAGAACTGGGAGGGGAAAGAGTCGAAAATGACGAAAATGATAAAATGGACGGCAGCTGTTTTGTTCATGTCACCAGACTGCAACAGACATACAGTGATCTAGTTAAACACAATGTTTACATTGTTTAGCCTGAGGATTCCTTATAATGGGGTCACATTTTTTAAACGCTTGAAGAGACATGACCACAAACCTGCTTTGATCGTGAAAATGGTTGATTAACATATTTCCTTAAAATCTGTGTTTTCTTGTGTAGGAAGTGTATTTTAAGAAGCACAAGTTTAACACCGTCCCAAATGTTCCGTTAAAAAATGTTGACAGGTATGTAAGAGAATCAGCTCTGTTGTTTGACCAAAACACTTTTCTCCGTATTTTTTTACCTGTTTATTTATTTATTTTTTTTTATTGACTGTTTCCTGTCAACAGCTTGAAAAAGGATGCATACGAGGTAGAGATCCAGAATCTGTTACGGTAAATACACCTTTATTTGATCACTAGTTTTTTCTTTCTTTATTTTAGTTATTTATTTATTTTTTAAACTATCCTGTTGTAGGCCATACTGGACTTTGCATTTCCCAACAGTATTCTCTTAGAAGAATGGAAAATGTGCTTATAAGTAGAGAGATGTTGTGCAGTGCCAATGGCTACAAATCTATCCTTTCATTCACCGGTTATGGGATTAAAACTACTGAGAAGCATGAACATGACAGATTTCTCATTATTAAATGTGTCTCTCTTTCTTTGTATTTGTAGTGAGGCGGAGGTTTTGGACCACAGCAAAAACCCTTGTGAAGACTCATTTGTCCCAGACACTGAGGGCAAGACTTACGTCATGTTTATCAAGATGGAGCAGGAGTCTGACACCAGCACCTGGACTGAACTGGCTAAGGTAGATCTCACTCAAGCTGACTAAACCAAAATCACTGACAAGCCAGCAGTAGAATTTGCCTCTGCCAAAGAATGGAGGGTAATGTTTGTTGTGTATGTTCGCTTTAGTGCCTGCATGTGTGGGACCTAGATGTGCGAGGCTATCACAGAGGATTGTGGAGGCTCTTCAGAAAGAAGAACCATATCCTTGTAGTGGCTGTTCCAATCTCACCTTACTCGTGAGTCATAATCTGCTGGTTTTCACTTTCTCACTTTCACAGCCTTATTTCTAATTTCAAAATAATTTTTCTCTGCTTTGACAGTTCTCAGTCATGTTTGTAAGCAACCCATATGTCATTTGTATGAACACATGTCCTGCATGCACACTTTTTTTTATATCCAGTCTAGGACCACATATGAAAGTAGGTGAATTAAAAATTTTTTATTTTTTTTTATTTTTATTTTTTTTTTATGTTTACACTGCTCTGAAAAATCCAATCTATGTCACCTTTATACAAAAAGATCAAATCTGTGCCACAACCCTGTACCGTAAACGCTGTCTCCGTAACTCGTTTTGCAATTTACAAACTCATTGTTTCTTACAGCATTAGGAAACCTACTCATGTTACCCCTATTCATCTGGAGCCTCCACCCAAAGAGGAGGGAGCCCCAGTGGAGCAGATGTAGAGCAGCTGCAGCCTGCTCCCACACCGCCTCTGATTGCAGGCCACACTCGCACTGGACCTGCATTGGCCCTGTGCTGGGAGAACCTCCTCCCTTAAGGCCACACAGGAAAGCTGGAGTAGCTAATACAGCTCCCCCTTCTTCACTACAGTAACGAATCTGTGCTGCTCGTATGGACTATAAGGCCTTACATTATGTGAGGTTAGGATTTTTGGTGAATGGAAAAGCTGAGTGAAGCTCGGCCAGTTACTGCAAACAGTTACAGTATGTATTAGGAACTGTGCAGTGTTTGAAGAGTCATGTGTGCATCATGTATTCTGTTAGAAAAGAGCTGGTCAACATTTCATAGTTTTGATTTGGTACCATAAAAAATGGCTGAGCCACCTCGAGAGAATAATTATGAACAAAGAAAAAGCCAAATCCAGATAAGAAAGGAACATTTGTCGAAAAGGGAATGACTGTATTTTACTATTTTTTAACACTACTGAATGCTTCTGGTTTTACTGTACATACATTTTAACTTAAAACTATTTATTTTGACAGTTTATTGTTAGAGAGTTCATTTTCTTTGAGAACAATGTACTTAGAAACAAAGGCCTAACATTGTTTACAAATAATATGAAGTTCTATAGTCATATATTTTTTAAATAAAAATGATCATTTGTCATACATTTTTCATTTGAGAGGTGATTGGTACTAGATACTAGATTGTAATAGGAGCAGCTTTATCACTTGTTCCTCCTAAGGCTGGTTGAGAGAATATGTGGTGCTTTTGTCAAAATATGCATCATTACCTCAGGAGATATTTTTTAATTCAAGACTGTGTAAAGATGTAGTCCATCAGTAATTTAAAGTGGCCAAGCATAGAAATGGAAATTACTACATTCATTTATGTCCTGTGCTTTACAACCATCTGACCCCAAACACTCCATCCCAGCAGATGAGAATACCTGAGGTTATGTGGTATAGTTTGATTAGTGGAGCTCTTTGTCTGTTTAGCTCTGAATATTGTATATTGACAGGCAATGGAGAGGACTAATGTTTTATCAGTGCAATCTATACTACATCATAGGCTTGTCCTGTGCTAATGTGACTGCCTTTTTCTGACATCATTTAAAAGTGACTTGCCCTGCAATAATATCCAGATCGTTTCATGAGATTTCAGTGTCTGCTCTAAGTTACAGTCACAAGCATTACATTCGTACTTTTGTCTACCACTAAATATTTTTGTATGCAAAAATGTGCAATAGTTGAGTGGATTTATGTAATATTTGTAGTTTTTTTTTTTTGTATTTTTAAAATGACTGAAATTTTGCCGTATGATTTGGAGACTCCTCAAACCACCAAAGTCCTTTGAACGCTTCTGGTTGTTTTTTTTTACATTTGTTTGTGTAGTTCTAATTTTTGCTTTGTGGATTTTTTTTTTAATAAAATAAAATTTTCATAAGGGTTCGGTGTGCCTTTTCAACATGGTGAACTCATTTTAGACTGTAAAAGACAGTCAGTTTTGCTAGCTTTTTTTTTTTCATAAACTTTGGCAAAACTTTTTGTTCAAGGTAGATTATGAATGACTATTGACTGTTTCCAGATAGATAGCTAATCATAACAGAAAAATACATAAACTACCAAAATTAAGGAAAGTAGCAGAGATTAATTACTTTGAAAGAGATGTACATTTTTTATTTCACTAACATTTAATTTTTATTTTAATTTAATTTTATTTAACCCCTCAATCCTCTAGTCACTCCCCAACAGACTTTTAACTAGGTGGAGGCCTTCCAGTGGACATGTGTTGTAGTTTTATCCTCAAAAGCCATTAACTGTTGTATAATGATACTGATATTCAAAGTGTTAAGTGTATTCTACACTATAATGCTGTCTGTACAGTACATCTGTGTGATTTTTTGTCATCTCGGTTGTTCACTGCTGTTAGTTAAGCACACAAAGCCCTCAGGCAAATTTCCTCTGAATAAGAAATTGTGTGGGCATTGAAATCCAGGCAAATATGTACCCTTATCGGTTTCCAATGTAAATGTAGTTGGCCATGGTGGGTTTTTTTTATGGGTGAGGAGGGGATGTGGGAAGAGGGATTTTGTAATGATGACCAAAACAGTGTCGTTATATATTTCTAGTGTGGCATACAACATTTCCAGAGACACAGATAAATGAACTGACAAAAGGATGAGTGGATAGTTGCATATCTGACAGGACTTTTCAGGAATATATTAAGGCAGAAAAATACATCAAAGGTGCCCAAGTTTGCCCCTGGTGATCTACCGCCCTTCAGTTTAGTTCTACTCTTAATCTAACAAACTGTTTTCCCAAAATCCTTCCCTATCCACAGCTAGTGTCCTTAAGAAATGAAATCAGGACAGGGATGTGAGATTGGGCTTTGTACCAGATGTGATACACGCAAAGCCTGCACATCACACAAGTCTGTATAGGTCTGCATGTTGTTGATGTTACCAAAGTGTAAACCTTGAGGAGGACTTCAGGGCTTAGGATGCTATTTGGCACTAGCCTGCTGTCATGACTAGCAGTGTGAGTGGGCCCAGTTTGTTTTTTAAGCAGAGTATTTGATCAACTCTTTCAGTATGCACCCTCTGTCAGTATGTGCTGTGGCATATCAGGGCCTTGTTTCCGTGGAATCTCATCCAGTTTGATGCTCCTGCAGTCTGGGACTAGTCTCAAGTCTCAACCCCTTCTTGTACATTATATCTTGTGAATCCCCATGTTGATCCACCTCCTCCTCTGGATATTGAGAGACTCCCAGCATGCTCTGCCTTCCCCTAACCTGGGGTCAGCATACACAGCTTGCCCTATACAACATGTTGGACTTTCATACACTGAGAGGGGTACAGCCAGTGGTGTTGGGTGCTGGTTGCAAACATTCTGAACCACTCACTAATTGTAGACTTCTATGCATGCATTCAGCTTATCATTTCTCATTTGGACATTCAGAGAAACAAACAGATTATTTATCCAAACCAGACACCCCTTCTAATTTGTCAATTCAGCTACTTTAAGGTGCACCATTGCTGACACAGGCATTGTACTGTACACATACAGCTTGTGTAATCACCATAGAGATTACAGCTTTGACAATAGGATGGGACCCTCTGGTAGCCTAAGAACACAATGCCTAATGCCAAGCATCAGCTAGAGAGGTATAAAGATACCCAGCATTGGGCTGTGGAGTAGGGGGCCTGTGTGAGGGAGCACCACTGAATACCTTCAGAATGAGTTTGTGGTGTTTGTAATGCAGAACGTATCCAACATCAGTTCCTGGCCTCACTAATGCCCTTGTGGCTGAATGCAATCAAATTCATACTCACAGCAATGTTCCAATATCCAGTGTTAAGCCTTCCCAGAGAGTAGAGATTGTTATTGCAGCAAAAAGGCAAGAAATTTCCTTGATTTCAGAAGAAATGTTGGATAAGCAGATGTCTACAAACATTTACACATATAGTGTATATTCATGTGTAATACATTATAATGAAATCAGTGTTTCTATCATTAGAAGTTTCTTTTTTTTCAGAAGCTCTGAACTTTATAGCTGTTCATTATTAGAGAAACTGAATGTACTAAACTAAGTCAAATGGAGCCCATTCTCTTTTTCTATATTCCAATCTCCATCCTCTAACAAAAGCCTTTACTGGGTCAATATTTGTTATACTGCGCACATATACAATACAAGCCTAAGAAGAGTGAATTACAGAGTGGCAACGTCTGTTCAGTCTTTGGATGTCCATTTAAGATAATAACCCCAATTTTATGTGCACTATTGACAAGCTGTGTCTCTTAACCAAGGCGTAAGAGCATTCATTCTCTGTTTTGTCTCAAATGACACCGCTTCCTGCTGTGCTGTAAAATTACTGGCCAGTAGAGTTTCTCCAAGTTAGTCAATCTGAAAAGCCCCAGACAACATAATAATGAGCAAACATGGATGTTTATTGACTGAGGCAATGAATATGTGACAGCTGATAAGTCTTTACTCTAAGTAGTGACCCTTTAATGATTCACCTGTCATGTAATGTGGCACATTGTTGTCGGTGCAAACATAATTTGCTGCTCTCAGAAAGCTTCTGAAAGTTTATGAAGTAATTAATTCCACAATGTTTTGTTGGCTATACTAGCAGTAAGTGCAACTAAATTTTTAGGACAATGTTGTCTACTTATTTCCTCATTCAATCCGTTTTGCATATTACATACACATATATGCATGTTGATTTTCAGCATTTTCTTTAAAACCTGTAAAATCTCTGGTCTCTAATTTAGGTGCATGTCTATAGAAAGATTCTGGCTTATGATATTCATTGGCTGTACATGAACTTTCATGAGCAGTTATATAACAACAGTTGTCATAGAACATACAAGTCAGAACATGCATGGGTCTCCTAAGTGCCTTGTTTGTCCAGATAACAGTACAGGTACATGGACACAGCCATCGCTGCCAGCTAAAAGACAAAAAGAGAAGCACGAAATCATTAATCTTTGTGGTTATGACCTGCTTAATCTCATGTAAATCAGAATGTAACCAAAAAGACAGCAGTCCTTTGTTCAAGACATGCAAAACATTAGCTTGGAACTTGACAAATGAGAGTATTAAATCTTTAAAAAGAGTTCTTTAGTAAAGGGAATGGTTGTATTTTGAGCAGCGAGTTCTGTATATAATAATTTCATGATTAAATGGCTCTTTGCATGGTGAAATCGTTCATCACATTGGTGGAGAATGTGTTGTACACGGTTCTATATAGAACCTTTTTGAAAATGGTGCTATATAGCGCCAAAAAGAGTTCTTCTATTGTTACGATGTCAAGCTTGCAACAATAGAAGAACCCTTTTGGATGTTATGTAGGACCATTTTCAAAAAGACCCATGTACAACACATCCTTTATCCATTTCACCATGCAAAGAGCCATTTAAATATGAAATGGTTCTACAAAGAACTCATGTTTCTAAATAGAACCATTCCCTTTACTAAAGAACACTTGAAGAACCATCCTTTTTAAGAGTATACTCATATAAAAATGCTGAAACCTTGTAAAATTACTGTATATAAAACAGTAGTGCTAGTAGTGCTTACATGATTGCCTTCAAACAGGACCTGGAAGACTTTAATTGTAATATAAACTTACCTCAACTCCACAGACCCCTGCAGCTACTCCTCCAACAATGTAGGCTTTCTTTTTTATGGTCAAAGTAAGATGTTCATAACAGCCCTAAGGACAGAAATACTGGTTCTATAAATTTTAATTCAGACCAGTTTTACAGCTTCTCAGTGGTAAAGGACTCAGTTCCTACATCAGTGGTGTTCAACTGAAACTTATGAAGGTCCACTTACATCACATTTCTTGCTTACAAAGGTCCAGATAAACAAACTAACCTAAGTGAATGCAGACAAGGTAATTCAACTCAAAAATTAGTAACGTTTTAAGTTTTTTGAATTTCAAATAATAAGTCAACAGAACTTAAGACACAGGTTCTTGTTCTGTTAACCTACTAATAGAAGTTCAGTTAACTCAAAATTTCAAGGCAGTTTGGTAACTTTTTTGAGTTAAAACAGCAATATTTATTTTTACAGTGAACCTTTAGTTGATTAACCATTAAGAATTAGTCTAAAGAATGAATAAGATATAATAAGACACATGAAATATGTTTTGATAAACTGTTCTTTTGAAAGTACCTTTATGATTTAATGAAGATTTTAGAACTGTATGGCCATTGGATTTTAGGGGATTCTTTAAAAATCCTGACTTTAATAAGTTAAAATAAATTAGATAAATTACAAATAAAGTTCTTAATGAGCATTTAAGCTTTAACACCATCTGGGAATGAATGACTGGTCAAGTGGACCTTTCATGCTAAGCTTTGGGTTTATTTTATTTATCCTCAGAGCTGAATTTTGCAGTACGGTTATTCTCAGTCATTGATTTATTTGGCACAGTAATGGCACTCAACGTTTCCACTTTTGACACACGCCACAGACAAAAGAGACATATTGGTTTTGAGAAAAACACATTCCTCACAGTTCATTTGTTTTTAAACACTGTTTTTGTCATCAACATTTTTTTACAAGCCATGTTGTTGCTTCACTACTCAAACCAGAAAAAATAAATAAAATTAAAAATTTTATTTTTTTACCAAAAAAGCTGAAATTATTCGCTTTCTGATCTGATATTAGCCTCATAGCTAGTCTCTGTTCAGATGAGCTGCCTTCAAGTCTGTCGTTTACAGAAATGTTTGGTTGGACTGAATAAACTGCAGCACTGGACAAAGAAGGTGCGCTTGTTCATGTTCATATATGTCACTGAAACAGGACCTTTTTTTCTAGTGCTTTATGTAAATTATCTCTGATTCTGAAAGGTTGTCATGCATTGTGCCTCTTGCAGTAATGGCTGAAACCCTACTTCAGCATGAATGGGCGGGGCTAAACTGCTGTAGGCTAAAGTATGTAAATGTGCCGGATTTCATGGAATGTATTTGCAGTTTAATTTCCATGTATAGAGTGAATGCAGTGGGCTGTGAATGGACGTTTTAGAACACTGAGAATGTTTACATGCTACATCATAATCATTTATTAAAAACAAAGAAAAAAGATGAAATGTATGACATGGGCCCTTTCATACATCATTATAACAGTTACTATAACTATTACTTTGGCCAACCCCCTCAGCATATATACAGATTTATGTAATACCATCATTTTAACAATGTCCTTTCTTACCTTTATGTCACTATGCAGTGCGTTCTCCGCATCACAGAGGATTTCAGGATCTTCACAGCAGCTGGGAGGATATATGTCACCATTTTCCTCATAATAATATGAATTGTTGAAGTCTGTGTAGTTGGTGAAGCCACAGCAGTGCAGCTATGGTACAGTACGACAGGAGAAACTGCACAGTTAATGGTAATTACACTCAGTGTACACACACAGCATGTGTTTCTGCATGAAAAAAAATTAAGCAGATATTTTACTGGGTTAATGCGGCTGTCCCTTCATGGTTACATGAATGAATATTGATTCCAAAGCACTGGTTAGAATTTCATTACTTTCTCAACTTCTCTTTGGCAGTTTATTTAACAATCCAGTTCTCACATTTACTTTTTCCCACCTTATGTTGGCCTGTGGGGGTTATGAGAGTGCTCTGGTGCGGAAATATGTCTGATGAATTTTTAGTCAGCCACATACTGAGCTGCCCCAGGCATGGATCAGAGTGTGCACTGGTTTGTTTGGTGGCAGTCCAGGAAACGTGGCCACACTGTGGGGCAAGATGTGCTTTGATTAGCTCTGGCTTACCTTCTTCATGGTCACATCCCACATGTCTGTGACCACTTTATCTTTTCCATACTGCTCCTTCAGAACAGGTGTGGACCATGCCTTTAGGACGTTCTCAAACTAGAGAGGAAACAGATCAAGCTAGTGGTTGGCAGAAACATGTACCTGAAGTACTATGCAAAAGTCAGAGACCACCCTTCGTTTATTTAATTTCCAGTCAAAACAGCCATTAAGTACACAGTTATTCATTTTCCAGCAGCAGGATAAAAGCAGGAAGAGGCCTCAACAATTAAATAGTATAACACATTTTTCTGTATTTAGTGTGTCCACCCTTCATATTTATTACAGCTTTCATTCCTTTCAGGAGACTTGCTTTTATTTTTTCAAATAAATCTGTGGGGATATTTATCCACACCTCCAAAGTTCAGTCTAAGAAGTTGGTTGCATTTTCTGCTTCTCACAATCCAAGCAATCCCAAACACATTAAGTGATGTTCAGTCCATTGTTCTGAGAACACCAGCAGCTTCTAAGATCAATTTTCCTCAATAACGACTTCTTGACACCAACACATCCATTTAGACCTGTAACTCTGAGTTGTCTTCTCACAGTGGAAGGATGGACAGAAACACTTATGGATTTTTTCGGATTTGAAGCAAGAGTGGAGCTTAATATTTTTGTATCTCTTGAAGATAAAAGCTTTAGGTGCTGTTTATTTGATGGCAATAGGTTGGGTGGTCTACCAGGTTTTGCACAATTGCTCCTCTAAATTTTTAAGAGCATTAACTGCAGTTTGGGTATCTTACATCTAATCTCCTCAGACATATCTCCTGAAAAAATTGATAACTTCTACTTAAAGGCTGTTTTGACTGGAATGTAAATAAATAAAGCCAATTTGCACAATACTGGAATGCATCAAAAATATAGAATGAAACATGAGTCAATGCTAGAAAGCTAGGCTGGTTTTTCTTCTCTTATGCACCTGTTACAGTTCATGTTTACTAGCTTCTCTAGCTGTGCACAGGGCCATCTCTGATCGCGTTCCCTACTTTGAGTCTTTATTTGTTTTGTTTGATGATGAATGCTCGAAATAAACAAATGCTCAAAGTTAGGACAGCTCTAAAGATGATTATTTTATGTTAATCCTGATCTTAGAAACGAATTTCCATATATATTGATGCTTTTGGCTGGTGAGGTTTCAACCAATTATGTTACATCAAATTATCATTTCGTGCAGCAAACTATATAAAAGGATGCAGCGATGCGGCAACTGCCTTTGCTAAAGTGTGGTGCCCTTTGTGTATAACTAATGTATGGCTTTGTGTGCTCTCTCTCTCTCTCTGAGGTTGGAGTGCTGCCGAAAACAACAATGAAAAAAAAAGCATATATGTTCCTTTCTGTGCTGTCCTCCACTCTTTCACTCTGCCCTCTTCTGCTCTCTCTTCTTATTTGTTGGGGTTTTGATTAATAAACCCTGATGACTTTCAATCACATCCAGAGTCATTTGCAGGAGAGCTGGAGTGCTGGTGAAAAGGAGAGATGGATGGATGGATGGAGGAGGGTGTGTGGGGGGGTTGGGTCATTGCAAGTGGACCTCCGCATGCCTGGGGGGACGTGCAGACAAGCTGCAATTAAAAGACCCCCCCCCCAAGAAGAAGGGAGAGGGACACAGATCAGTGGGGTTATTATGCACCAGCTAGGCTAATCCATCACTGTCTGATGCCATTCCCTCACATTTTGCGGCAGGACAAAGTGCTGTAGGGAAAGTGAGCCTGCTAAATGCCGAGCTAAGATCAGTTAGCACTAAACAGGGCTGGGTGCAACTCATAACCACCATGGACCTCCAACATGCTGAGAGAAGCATTTTCTACAACTATGAGCACAAAGGACAACTTAACGATCACTGACAGGACTGAGTCGTATAACTCAAACAAAGGCAGCAATGTTTTATTTGCAGTATGTATGAGCTATTTGCACTAGCTAGGATATATTCTCTAAGTGGTCAACAAAGCACTTCTGTAAGTCACTGTGGATAAAACCTCCTGCTAAATGCTGTGAATGTAAATGCAAATGTAATACAAGCTTCATACAATAATACATACAATATTATTCTATATATTCTATTAGTGTGTACAATATAGTGAGTAGTGTGTATAGTATACTAACACGCTATGTATTTTTTTGTAGCGTGTACAGCATAGATATAGTATCTACAGTACTGTGCAAATGTCAGAGACCACCCATTCATTTATTTAATTTCCAGTCAATACAGCCATTAAGCACATGTTATTTATTTTTCAGCATCAGGAGAAAATCAGAAAACATATATTTAATAATTATTCCATTTTTTTCGATTTTTTTCAAAGCTCAGTCTTAGAAGTTGGTTACATTTTCACAAGTGATCCCAAACATGAGTAATCTTAAACACTTTCATTGATGTTGAGGTCTGGGCAGGAGTGGATGTTCTCTACATCTTTGAAATGTTTTTCAAACTCCAGTTTGTCACTGTCTTTTTTTTGTTTCTTTGTCACTTATGTTTCTTTGACTCGCTCCTAAAAAATGATTAACTGCTTTTATCCTGATGCTGAAAAATGAATAACTTGTACTCAATCGTTATTTTGACTTGAAATTAAATAAGTGAGGAGTGATCTCTGACATTTGCACAGTACTGTAAAAATAATAGAAAGCTATGTATTCTATTACATTGTACAGCATAATATAATACTATGCATTCTATTATATAATATGTATACTATACTGTAATAGAATACTATACATATAGTATTCTGGGGGGGGGGTGGGATCTCGGCTCCGAAGTGTGCAGCATAGCGCGAAAGCCCTGGTTCTCAAAGACTGAGAACAGACAGCAGACAGCAGGTCACATAGCCCCGAAGTCTGGCCTCGCCAGTAGCGAACGAAAAAACAGATATTAAGACAAACATTTGGAGGACTTATTCACATTTATAAGCAGGGCGGTTGGTTAAATCTGCAACGAGAGACTGTCTTTCTCTAAAAAGTTGCGAAAATGAACTCGCTTCTCTTTCGAATTTTCCCGTTCCACCTTAAATGGTGCAGCAGTTACATTCGGCGCCTAAGGCAGAATTTAAGGTAGAACGGGAAAATTAGAACGAGATGCGAATGAGAAGCGACTTCAGCCTCGTAAAACAGCCGGATGCTGAGACATTTTACAAGAGTTTACATTTTACTAGTTTTGAAGAAAAGTTTTCTGGCGGAGATGGGAGGAAAGCGGCTATAGCTAAAGCTTAAAGCAGAGCAAAGTAAATCTGCGCTCTCGTTTATATTGTTTAGTCTATACTAGGACATTATCACATAATGAGACATACTGGACATTAAATGTTGGTGGTTTGACTTTGTTGAAAGGCAAAATGTCTCTTCTTATCATTTGTGTTGTGACTCCTGACCTGACCTGGCTTTAATGCAGAGGGAGCCGGTCGGATTTCTCACTCATCCAGTTGTGTTTTTGTTATGTGCCGCCAGAGACTGTCCGGGCGCTGCACTTCCCCACTTCCAGTTCCGCGTTTTGCGTTCCGTCAACATTACATTATAAATTAAATATTCAGAAAATCGATTTTTGACATTTGTGAATCGATTCAGAATCGTTCACGTCCGCATCGCGATGCATGTAAGAATCGAGTTTTTCCCGCACCCCTAATATATATATATATATATATATATATATATATATATATATATATATATATATATATATATAGTTTGTATGTAGTATGCATAGTATAGTGCAACAAAATGTACCATCTACAGTGCCGTGAAAAAGTATTTGCCCCTCACCTGATTTCTTCTATTTTTGCTCATTTGTCGCATTTAATTGTTTCAGATCATCCATAATTTTAATAAGATGAAGACAACACGAGTAAACACAAAATGCAGCTTTTAAATGATCATTCCATTTATTTAAGATAAATGGAATGATCATTTTAAAATAGTAAGAAAAAGTAATTGCCCCCCTAAACTTAATAACTGGCTATTTTGGTAGTAACAACTGCAATCAAACGTTTTCAATAACTTGCAATGAATCTTTGACATTGCTGTGGAGGAATTTTGGCCCACTCTTCTTTGCAGAATTGTTTTCATTCGGCTTCACTGGAGGGTTTTTGAGCATGAACGGTTCGTTTCAGAAGTGGACTTGCTTGTGTGCTTCAGATCATTTAGGTCACGAACTGACGGGCAGATATTCTCCTTCAGAATTTTCTGACAGAGAGCAGAATTAATGGATCCATCAGTTATGACAAGTCATCCAGGTCCTGCAGAAGCAAAGCAGCCCCAGACCATCACACGACCACCACCACGTTTGACTGTTGGTATGATGTTCTTATAGTGGAATGTGGTGTTAGTTTTATGCCAGATATAACAGGACCCATATCTTCCATAAAATATTACCTTTGACTCATCAATCCACAGAAAAATATTCCAAAAGTCTTGAGGGTCATCTAGATGTTTCTTGGCAAATGCAAGACAAGCTTTGTGTTCTTTTTGGTCAGCAGTGGTTAGCGCCTTGAAACACTCCTATGTATGTCATTTTCGCCCAGTGTCTTTCTTGTTGTGGAATCTTGTACTTTGACCTTAACTGAAGCGAGTGAGGCCTGCAGTTCTTTAGATGTTTAAGTTCTTTTGTGACCTCCTGGATGGGTTGTTGATGCAATCTTGGTGAAATTTTGGTAAGCCAGCCACTCCTGGTCAGGTTTATCATTGTTCCAAGTGGATAATGGCTCTTACTGTGGTTCGCTGGAGTCGCAGAGCCTTAGCAGTGGTTTTGTAACCCTTTCCAGACTGGCAGATTTCATTGACTTTGTTTTGCATCTTTAGAACATGGCATCATGTGTTGCTTTTTGAGACTTTCTGGGCTGCTTCACATTGCCAAACAAGTTTTATTTAAGTGGTCTTTAGATTCAACAGGTCTAGCAGTAATCATGCCTGGCTATGACTAGTGAAACTGAACCCAACAGTCAATTGAATTTGGTTAGCTGTTTGATGTAGTAGCTAAGCATTTTGTGTTTCCTTGTGTTATCTTTGTCTAATATTAAAAGTAGTTTGTGAACTGAAACATTCAAGTGTAACTAATATGCAAAAATAGAAGAAATTGGGAAGGGGCAAATACTTTTTCACAGCACTGAATTCTGTTTCAGTATTTTACTATAAGAATGCAAATATTTGATGTCATTATGCATGACACATTTTTTTCACAAGGCAGTCTAATACCACAAACAATCTTTCCAGATGAGAAACAAAGCATTCTTAAATAAATCACTGCACTTTTCTGATCTGTCTCCAGATAACAGGACTCTGATTTGCATTCTGTACAGTTCGACTGTAGCAAAGAACAACAACATTAAACTGCAGTCCATATAAACAACATGTCATGACTTATCTCATGCTTTTACTGATTATTCAGGCAGATGCATATATTATTCAAATTCTCATTGCTGTGTTATTGTTATGCCTATGTGTTCCATACTTATCAAAACCACAGCAGAAAAGGCAGGTTATAGACGAGCATATGCATTATTAAAACGACTATTCTTTCGTCATGATAATGAATAAATGGATGGTTGCATGTGAACGATGGTGACAAACAGCACATTAAATGTGCTTGTGCATGCCTAATGTTCCCCCTAACAACTTAGAGTGTCTATAATTCAAACATATGTCCTTCTTTGTTCCTCCCACTCGCCTGCTGAATAGCCTTTGCAGCATCAGATAGCTGATGAGCTGCAGTCTTTCATCCAGATAGCCATGTAAATGACGTTCCATGAACAGTCTGATTTCATGCGTGCAGCAATACCCAGAGGGCCATTTCCAACAAAGCTGGACAGTTCCACTAGAGACCAGCAAATAGGCAAACTTTCTCAAGGCCTTGGACAAGCATTGGAGGGGAAATGGACTATTCCTAATGACAACAGAGCATAAATAAACCTGAGTGTTCAGGTGTATTCCACCTCTGTGTTTGACACCTAACATGCATTAGCTGAGATTGTTCCATAATGACACAGATTAATTCGGTAATTCAGCCAGAAAGGTTTTATTGTCTTTATTAAAATGCATTATTCTCTTAAACCGCTTTCCATAACTCACTTGAAATTGTTGTAATTATTATACATTTCACTAAATGGGCACAGCTATATATGTAAATAGCCTGTTTTGCATATAAAATGCTTGAACTTCAGTACTGGACCTGGATAAATTGCTGAGAGTGAGAGCTATGGCATGAAGCCTGGGGCAATCGGCTAGTCATTAAGAAGCAGAATGTACTGGAGCTGCTGCAAACTCCCCATATTTAATGATGGCCAGAATATGGTAGGAATGTACATGGAAATAAAACAGGCAGGAACCAAAGAAGGCAGAGAGTGTACTGGGAAGCGAGGACCTCAGAGCAAAACTTACTAATGAAGAATAGGCCAGGATAACCACTGCAGTTGCCAGTTCAGAGATGAAAATGACCAGAATGATGGAAAAGAACTGTACATATAGGGAAAAAATAACAAGCATGGCTCATTATCAAGCTCTTAAGACTATCTGAGGTCAAAGGGCAATGTATGCTAACATATAAGACTATAAAAGCTAGTGTAAGTAAAATAGTCACTTAAATGTTGATAACATTTCATTTAAATTTAAATCATATTTGTGACTATAGGAGGCTGTATAAACTAGCAGATCATGGATTTATTTCATTTGATTCATATTTCCAGTGCTTGATAATGTAAAATATTGCTCATTACCATTATCAGGAGACATTTGCTCTCTTTTTTGGCTCCACAGCAGCCCAGAAATCCTAGCAGTGCCATTACACCTCCAAAGGCAACGAAGAAGTAGCCAACATTGACAAAGTGCAAGACGTTCAAGGAAAACATCCCCAAAATCTGTAGGCGGGAATCTCCACCAGCATTCAGCCAAATTCCCACCGCCGCCAGCGCTAGACCCCCCACCTGCGAAAACACAGGTACAGCCTTACACAACACTGACAACTGTGTTCTGTGTTGTTGTTAGTGTTTTCCTGTACCCAACAAGATCAAGAAAGACTTAATAGATATATACAAGTATATAGTGGGTATGGCTCCACTGTATACTTGTATACGGTTGGGATGACAATCCTTCTTAATCTTGATCTTGTTGGTTACAGGAAAAAAACAACAGCAGCTAACATTCCTCCAGGGCCTTGCTGCAACAAACACACATGTTTACAAGACCACACAAGACAATCCAGATAGCAAGAGGATAATGGGCTACTGCTGGCCCACTGACAGCAAAGCTGGTGGCACACTGGCTTTTTGCTCAGCATTTTCCAGTCAGACTACTGGTGGCTAAGCACAATATTAGACAAAATGCCACTTTTAATCACTCATTTTCCACTCACAGTCCAATTTACTTGTTTCCTTCATTGGTTTTTTGTTATCCTTTGTAAATTAGATTAGCAAATAATTTTACTCTAGCACACAAGCAAACAGGCATAATGCTTGCTTTTTGGTTAGAGAAGTTTTTTTGTTCAAGCATAGAGAAATTCACAGTCAGTGTCACCAACAACATTAACAAAATCATTTTACATTAGGCCTAGTCATGATGTTTTTTTCTCTCAGTTGTTTGTAATATTTGTCTGAGCTTATTTTCCAAAGTAAAAGCCATGTGTGCATTTGACTTTAGACCTTGTATGCAATCTGGGTGGTCCAGGGGTGGGCTTGTAGTGGCATACAGTCATTGGGGTGCAGACCTTATCAAGCCAGTGGACCAATATATGGTTTGCTATCTGGGAAGTGACCAAGGTAGACTACAGGGTCATCAACAAAATGGTTCAAAGAAAAATCTAATTCCTACAGTTTTCCACCTCAGACATAATTGATCAGCCAAGACATGTTTGGTGTCCAAATTTTGCTACTTTAGTTTAGCGCAGGAGCTACTAAGCTAAAGTTGCTAACAAATATTAGAAGTCAATAGTCACTCAAATCTGTTCCGTAAATACACCTACAACACTCATCTAAACCCATTCAACATCTAGATCTATAACAACTGCATCTAAAGCTTAAGAAAACTTCACAGTGTAAATGAAGGCCTGGGGGTAGCCATCTTAACTGGTTAAAATGGCTGCTCCCAGCATTTAGTTACACGGTGAAGTTTCATTAATCTTTGTAGTTCACAGTAAGTCATTCTGTGCACTAAACCACAGTGACTAGTATGTGTGACCTTAAAAGACCTGGACATGGTTTAAAAAGAATTTGGGTGACTATTGGCTTCTAGTTTTTTTTTTTTGGCTCCTTTAGCCTCATAGCTCTAGCGCTAAACTAAAGAAGCAAAATTCAGACACCAAAATTTGGAAAATTTGATTAATCTGATTTTTCTCCTATGACAGTGCAGTACATTACTGACGTACAGTATAACAAATACACAACAGTTTAAAATGTATAAGTAAATTCATACTCATAAGCAAAAAACATTGTTCAGAGCGGTAATTTATAATGGTATTTGTTGCAGTTATTACAATTTATTGAAATACTCCAAATTGTTCCCAGAAATATGAAATTCTTCTCTGTGAATTTCTCTATGCTCGAAAAAGAACAGTAACACAAGTTCTTAAAGCTCTTCTAACTGCAAACCAAGCTTCATGCCTGTATACTTGTGTTAATACATCACAGAGTAACTATCAGTATTTCTTCCTACAGTGCAGAATTATCGACACTCTTAGTAATGTTGCCCATAAGCTTTTATATTCATCTTCACCAAGGGTACCAGTAATTCTGGAGGGCACTGTAGGAATCCTCCTTAGTGAGCTGACATTACTGGCATTCTGTACCCGAGGCATGTGTTCAGCCACAGTGGTAGGTCATTAATTAATCGTAAAAGCCTCAATAGGAAGCACAAAAAGGGTCTCTATATGGGTCTGGAGCTTAATGTATATTGAAATACATTGTATCTACAGTCATATGCAAAGGTTTGGGTGAAAGGGTGAAAATAAGTTACCACATCCTCTACAGAGAGCACAGTTCTGCACATTTTAATGCACAATTACTGTTTATTTTCTCAATATCATGCTGGGAAAGAAAACATAAAATGTGGCCTGTGCTAAAGTCATGGCACATTTTGTAGTTTATGGTTATTTTTTCCAATGTGTTAAACCATATTGAAGCCATATTTAAGTACCCTGCAGTAAATAAGTTAACTTTTGTCTGTGTTGCATATAGGTTTTCCTCAAATCAGGTATGTCTGTATGTTTCGTTGCCCCCTTTAAAGTATAAAAAGAAGACTGCTGTAACCCTTTCAAATACTCATAAGGACTCATGTGTCGGCCCGCACTTCAGTTACTTACTCCTACCTATGTAACATACACATTAGTTTAATAATAAGTCCTGAGATTAATAACCAAATAATGAACCTACAATTTAAGTGCTGTTGTAGTCACTTCTCATGAAATATCATTAATAGCTCTTTTTATTTTTTTGTTTGTCATTTTTCACAGTATTTTTGTTTCTTGCCTCTATATTAAAATGTCAAAAGTTTTGAACTGCAGAGCTTCCTTTTGAGCAAATTAATGCTGTTTCAGTGACGGGAGGGTTAATGAGAGGGGTAATGTCAGTGTGCTGGCTCAAATGTGGCAGTGTAACTGTCTCTGAAACCTGATAGTCCATGTCAAATGCAATCACAGCTGTCAGAGTGGTTCCTCTGTGACTCCACCGCCTGTCAGATAAAACACAAATGACTCCATCCCATCAGCTCTGCATATTGCCTTTTTTCACTTACACCTTTTTTTTAAACACACCTTCCAGAATATTCTCAGTGTTTGCCACATGACTTTCTCCCACCTGTCTTTGATAATCGCAGCAGCTCTCAGAAAATCAGATATGACAAGCATATCACCCTCAACTTCTTGCCTCCAAACGTTTCCTTCTGTTTGTCATAATTGCTCCTGGCATTCCCCTTTTTTCAGTGGAGTAGGCCCGATCCTTTAATGAAATGCCACATGTGGGGAGTGTCGTGTCAGGAGAAGATGCACTGTAGAGATTGCATGTAAATCAGTTCTTTGGCAGGAGAAACTCAGGAAATGAAATAGTGCACTGCAGAGGACAGAAAGCTGGCGAGTGCTAGGGAATGGATTGCCATTGCACAAGACCAAGAGAGCCTTCTAGGCTGGGAACTGGACCAAGGTGCTTTTCAAAATTACCTTAATTTTTTGGAAGCTATTAGTTGGAAGTTATCAGTTTCTTCAACCAAATGATGAGCCATAACGTGTCTATGACACAACCAACCATTAGGCTTTTCTATAAATTAGCTAGGTAACTAAAAATGTAATGTAATTTAGCCTCTTATCCTAAAAGCTATCTAACTAACTTTTTCATTTAAACTGCAAGAGTATAATAATGGACAGAAAACAGACAAAAATACAAATTCCAACTAAGCCTAGGCGACAGGGCGATGTAATCAGGTCGATGTGTAAAAGGCGATATCGTCATTTTGGAAAAAGGACTGAGTGAGAATTAGAGAGGACTAATTTACTGTTAAACATCTTGTAAATATGTTGAGAAACTGGGATTCACTTTCCTTTAAGAAGCACACAAATAGTCATTTTTTCTGGTTGAGAGACAGAGACAGAGATAGAGAAAGAGAGAGAGAGAGAGAGAGAGAGAGAGAAGTTTAAGAAGCTGCCTGTTAGTTCACTCTGCTACGCAGTGTTATGCTAGCTTTACCCAAGGCTCTTCACCTTTTACTTATTTTACTTGACATTTAGGTTAGCTTGAGAGAAATGCTGACATGATTTGGAACTTCAGCTTGCTTCAGTGTGACTCACTGCAGTAAAACAACCAAGCTAAAGTGAGGTTCATAAAAACATGGTTTGACGTGTTTGGTATGGAGGAACTCCAGTGGCCTGCACAGAGCCCTGACCTTTACCTCACTGAACACTTTTGGGATGAACTGGAACGTCAGTTGAGACCCAGGCCTCTTGTTCGACATCAGAGCCTGACCTCACAAATGCTTTTTTGACTGAATGGACACAAAATCCAACTGACATACTCCAAAATCTTGCGGAAAGCCCTCCCAGAAGAGTGGAGGCTGTAGTAGCCACAAAAGGGGACCAATTCCACATTAATGCCAATTGCTTTGGAATGTATTGTCCAACAAGCTCATATTGGTGTGATAGAGAGGTGTGCACATCCTTTTAGATAAATTGTGTAGCATGAAATGACACAGAATAGTAATCTTGTGATTTATTAGTTAAACATTTCAATTTTCATGAAGGATATCCATATTACAAAACATTTTTGTAGGCTAGCATATGCCTTTCTACTAGCATGCAACTGTGCTGTTTTTTGATTGAAACTGTAATGTTTTATCTTTCCAATGTTTTACCAATCTTCCTTTGTAAAATACTTTCGCTGGAGTGAAAATCGCTATTTAAAAACTCCAAGCTTCCTGTTGAATCCCACTCTGAGAGACGCTAAACTGCTTTTGGCCTTCACACGCCACAGCAGGGTAAACATCAGAATGAGTGATTAATTGTTAACCAGCCCTTGACTGACTAGCATGTTATCATATAGCACACATGAATGGCATACGTAGAAATGCAACACAGCCCATAGCCGTAAGGGTTTCTGGTAAGCCTTGATACTAATTAGGATGGCTTATGAATATATTATACTGTACGCCCATTAATAATACATTAAAACAATAGAAAGATGTGTAAGACTCTGCTTCCTAAACTTCACAACTGTTCACATCAGTGTAGTCCAAACCAAATGGTAAACTGATTTGGTTTTCATGTCAGTATTCTTAGAACTGGCTCAAATGCAATTTAAAATCCTCTTAGGAGAGCATAACTTCTACTACACTGTAAATCCCCTCAGCAAAGAAAACGCAACAATAGCAGTCATGACTGCAGCAAAAATATATAATTAAATAAATGATCCACCCAGCGACGGTGAAGTCTCTCTCCATTCTAGCAGCATCATTAGGCAGGAACATTAGCTCACAAACAAAGGTGACGAAATTAGAAGCTTTAAAGTTAATGAGATGAAAATTGCAGTGTGTAAGAAAGTGTGATTGCCTTGTTGATGATGTACGCCTCAGTGTAGGACTGTGACATACAGTTTGAAAACTCCTTTGTTATATGTTTGTATTATCGGGGTGTAAATTACTTTCTGCACATTCAGAGGCAGCCTGAATCTCCTTAGTACTTTACGCAGCACATAAAAATCTCTGGCAATAAATACGGAAATGCAATTACTCTTCTAAACACTGCCACTCCCCCACCCTTCTTAGGCTTATATGCATACATGTAATGAGAAAACACAACATGCTTACCAAGATTAACAAGTTGAACAAAACCATCATAACTTTGACGAATGTGAAGCAGCCCATTTTAATCTATAAAGAAAGCAATAAAGATAAATCAGTGCTGACTCTTTTCTGTTCTTCCACACATATACACTCAGAGAGAGAGAGAGAGAGAGAGAGAGAGAGAGAAACATTTTACATTAGCAAAATGTATTTAATTAGCAATGTTTACAACTTTAGGCAGTAATTTTAGTAGAATTTACTAAAAAACCTGAATCACTCACTGTCTGGCAGCAGTAAGCCTGTTATGACAACTGACATAAACCTACATAAACATTAATAAAGGCTTGTTCCAACAAGCATCTGCTTTTATCAGTTTTGATGTCATTTCTCCTCAAAAGTGTTATAACAACTGACACACATTGGAATAAGGCATTTTTAAATGTCTTTATACACTCTTAAAAAAGATGGTTATTCAAGGGCTCTTTAGTAAAGAAAATGCTTCTATATACAACCATGATAACTCAAAAAACCCTTTGCATGAATAAAGGGTTATGTACATCATGAAAGGTTCATTAGACTGATGGAGAATGTACTATAGATGGTTCTATCGAAAACTTTTGTCTATAAAGCACCCAAAATTATTCTTCTATTGTGACGATGTCAAGCTTGTAACAATACAAGAACCCTTTTGGGTGCTATATAGAAACATTTTCATGATGCAAAGAACTTTGGTTTATTGAGTGTGTAGGTTTCTGTCAGTTGTCATAAAAGGCTTACATAGGTGTTGTGTAGCCTTATGAACGCTGCCCTTCAGTGAAATGTTACAAAATGTAGTTTTAATCCAAAAGAATTTAAAACAAATAAAATAAAGAATAAAACCCACCTCTTTTTGGAGGATGTGTGCGCACTGCTTTAGAGAGGATGATGAGAGAATGGAGAGAGAGAGAGGAAAAGAAAGAGAGATGCATACACAGGTGAAATGGGTGTGGTTAGCTTAGGATAATGCTGGATGAAGTGATATGTGGGCTGTGTATTAGTGGCTGATTTTAAGTGCACTTGACTTGTCAGGTCACACGTGATGAAACACAATTTAAATACCGCTTACACTCACCAAGTGTTGCTACTGAAATAATAGAATGGAAAACATGACTACTCTGTTGAATGGAAAGTAACAATCTGGACACAGGAAAGTAATAATCTGGACAATCATCTGGCAATATCCCTCATATTGCTCAACATCAAAGTGTAGTTATCCCTCTATTCAATACAGTTGGGCTACAGATGGTGTTCATGGTTAATAGGTCACATTTGTTTACTCCCTGATGTTCACACAGTAGCAGGTCCTCAGGTTCCTTTGTGCTCTTTCCTGTGTGGCTCCTTTGTTCTTTTGTACACAGCTCTGTGGTATTTTCCTCTTCCACCTGTAGAGGGCAGTGGTGCAGCACTCAGATTCAGCTCACTCGAGTGGTGCTAGGCTTCACTAATTCACCATTGTGGTGTCTATGGTTCATGGAGCTGATTGATGTTCTCTCGGAGGAGGACAGCGTCTTTCTTTGTCCACTTTTCTCCATGAGAAATGCCCAACAGAAAACAAAGAGATAATCATATCAGCCAGCGGGAGATTCCAAGAATTAAGCATTGACCTACTCTAGGAGTTACGGTTCTGGGACAAGCAGGCGGAGCAAATGAATAGCTAGTGTTCCTTTGTAAAATAACAGGGTTTGAAAAATAACTTTGGGGTGACAGGAGAAATAGTTGTGCCTATTTTTCCAAGAGAAACACTAAACATTACGGCGTGGCCTTAATTACTCCAGTGCATTATGAAGTCCATTTGCCATGATTGCTCTTCATCCTCTGCTAGAAGGAACATTTGGAAATATATGGCTCCCCATTGTTACCTATGACTGATCATAAAAAGACCATCTCGCGGTCACACCTTAACCTCCAACCTCATTCTTCCCTCTCTCTGCACTTCACTCTTCCACTCCATTCCAATGATTTCCAACCAGCATTCCAACATGTGCAATCTCTTTCCCTCTCATCTATGTCCTGATAACCCACTATTACCCACCCCACTCCCTTCTTGTCATCATGGTCACTATTTGACGTGACTCACATGTCCAGAGAGGTGGCCCTGCAGGCAAAAGAAAAAAAAAAAAATTAGAAAAAAGATAGATTGCTTGGTGCCACCATGCTGAAGTTAAACACATATAAGCCCCAGCCTTCTCTGTAATATCCTTTTAATGGCCCTATTGTGAGTTACGACAATCTTAGTAGCACCATCATTAAACCCCCAGTCCTTAATCTCTATGAGAAGAGGACCTGTCATCCGTTGGTTTTGCGCTTTTCAGGTATTAAACCAGTTAATAATCTCCACGCATAGTCCTCGCACTTAGAATGAGAGCGAAAAAAAATTATTCCTCGGTCATTTTTCATCATCCCGATAACAAGCAGTGGAGATTCTATAGTGCTGATGAAGCTAGTAAAACATGGCTGGCCGTAATGAGGTTGACTAGATTGACCATTACCTGCTTGCTCCAGGGCAGGTGTGTCGGTGATGGATCTCAGGTCCCTGGCCTATGCCCTGCCTCATGAAGCTCCTCTTCCCTGGGACAGTAAAGAAAGAGAGCTCTCTTTATAGGCTAGCAAAGCTCTAATGGAGAAGAAAGCAGTTAGAACAAAGCAGGCAAACCAATGCACTTGTGCATCTACTGCCACAGAAAGAAATAACTTGTAAAGAAACGGGAGAGAAAATCCAAAGTTATGATGTCATAAACAGAGATGCACTTTTAAAGGACCTGCGTTCTTTAAATCATCATTCAGGCCCACCATCCAGCTGATTATTGCACATTATCTAAGGCCATAAAACAGTAGCTGTAGGGGAAAAGGCACATCAGGCATTCCTTACTGCCGGTGCATGAACCCTGTAATGCACATCCCACGGACAGCGACCGATATAATCACACTGTTTGTAAACATGTAATGTAGGACCACGTGTCAGGATGGTGGTGCCATTTAAGTGAGAAATTGTGACAATAGAAACACCCCAAAGCTGCAGTGACTATGCCTAAACACACAGGCTCCCCTGCGACCTCCATTGTCTTCCCCAGTCTTAATTCATCACTGGCAGCTGTAAGCAAATGCATATTAATTTGAGCTGCTCCTTTGTGCCATAGGCGACTAGGCCAATAAATCAGGACAGGAGTGGTGCCTAATTGACTACAGTTTATGGAAGACAGCGAGTGGGCTAGAGCGAGAGAGAGGGAATCCTGGGCTTTAGTAGCAAAGCATGCATCTTTCCTTTGTTCTGTGTGTTGTTCATCAGGCTGGATGGCCATTGCAACACAGAGAAAAGTAAGCAAGGGCAATTTATGAAAATGACCACAATCAATGGACCATCCTAATGAAACTTTACCAGATATGTGTGTAAATGTGTGCAGTAAAGAGCTACTTTTAAAGAGTTTCCTCTGAATTCTCCAGAGATGCATATTCACCACATTATATTAAACCTCGCTGTACTACAGGACAACATACTGAAATAATCATTTGCATAAACATATGCTTAGGAATTGCTATATATGGTAGCTGGAGATATTGTGATTATCTCAGTGTCTCTGAGGAAAAGGCAGAAGCAAAGAACAGAGCCTATTAGTGTGCTGTAAACTAGATTACTGTGTTCAAATATTTATTCACTTCAGAAGGAAATAAGACTTGCTGTAGTTCTGAATCGTTTACACAAATTGTGGAAATACTTTACTGTAGGGCTGTGTTCATAAGGCTATATGACACTTACATAAGCTCATTGTGATAACTGACCTAAACCTATATAAATATATATTTATAAATGTTTAGTACATTATGCATCATCTATCATAAAGACTGTGACAGAAATTGCGGTAACACTTTCTATGAATGTCACCTTTGTAAGCATCTATAAACACATTCATAACATATTATAATGCATTCATAAGACATTATAAACATAGCTATAAATATTTATAAAAATGCATTACACGTTACAGCCATGCTTATTATGCATTATGAATTGTTAACATGATACATTATAAGTACTGATCATAACAAATTATAAGAGCTCATAAGTCGTATTTGTCCGCTTTAAGTAAAATGAAGCGTACTGCACTAAAGCCTCCTCCAGTGTTAAGAGTGAGGCTATAAGTTGAAGTACTTACTGAAGGATTTACTAAAACACTAAAACATACACAATAAAGCACATTACAAGCTTCAAATGTCAGATTTTACACTAGTGCTGCCATCAGTGTTTTACCCAATATGGGAGAGTCAATGTACACCACCGTTAGCTTGGTATTTGTCTTTACTTTACGCTCTCCAGACCGGGACTGACTTCACTGGCACTGACAGTATAACATGTTATCAACACTACTTATAATGCATTGTATTAACAATTCATAATGTATAATAAACATGGCTATAAAGTGTAATTCATTTTTATAAATGTTTATAATCATGTTTGTAATGCCATATGAATGTTTATAGATGCTTACAAACGTGAGATTCATAGAAAGTGTTACCAAAATTGCTAACTTTTGCCTAACTTGTCGAGCTATGTCATATTATCAGCATTATGTCACTGTGGCATTCAAAGTCTGTCATTTCACCTAAAATATACACCTCTCAGGTCAAACTAATGTCACCTGAAAAAGGTGTTATGTCGGTTTATGTCAGTTGTCATGAAGGGCTTATGTAGTGTTACACATCCTTGATGGAGAACAAATAAAATATGTTTTTTATCTGAAAATATTATTTCTATTTATTTGCTGAGTTTATTGAATTGGAAAAAAATAAAACATAACATTAAATGTGTCATGTTTTCACAGGCCACATTTCATGTCATGTGCAGAAATGTGTTCTCTATAAAGGATGTGTACTTATGTTCGCTTATATCAACAAAACATGTCATTTTACCAGGGCACTCTACATATGACTATATAAAGAAACCTATCTGGCCAGTGTAAAGGCATGAAGCAGGAGTGGGGTCAGCTCATTGCCACACACATTAGTGTAGAGGCATGAACTGAGGTGCTAAAAGCCTTTATTTATGATTCCTCATATGTCTTTATGTAAAACAGAACTAATTGCTTTCACTTCTTTGCACACATCAATAATTTCACAGTCCAGTAAAACCTGACAGTCAGATCCGGTGTTATTATGTGTCCTCATCTGAGCAACGTTCTGCACTTTGCATGTTTTCTTATGTGTCAGGTTCCACAGTGTTAGATGTGAATAGCATCACTTCAGATGTGAGTAGCATCACTTTCAGAATAGCTGAGCGTAGCTATTCAGTGACAACCCAGCCAATTATATTCTCAAGCTCCCCATCCATGTACAATGTAGACTCAAAATTAAGGTCCCTGCATGTTTCTTACTTTGACATACTGCTGTAAGAGAAATCTTTAATGGGTATAGAACCTTTGCATTAAACCTTAAGAAGATTCTTCACACTCACCTATCTGACTTACAAAAATGTTTCTTGAACTAACAATCCACTGAAATGTTTTTTAGGAACACAAAGATATATACAATATAACAACTTTACAAAAACCTTTTTAATTTTTAATGTAAGTTAATATAAAAAAATCAACAAAAATGAACATTTTTTTTTTTTTTTGGACAGTGACGATGTGTATATATACTACATGGGCAAAAGTATTAGGACACCTACACATTACACCTACAGGAGCTTATATGACATCCCATTTTAAATTCATTGGCATTAATGTGGAATTGGTACCTTCCACTCCTCTGGGAAGCTTTCTACAAGATTTTGGAGTGTGTCTGTGGGAATTTTTGCCCACTGATCCATAAGAGCATTTGTGAAGTCAGACTCTGATATTGAGGTTGAGGTCAGGGCTCTGTGCGGGCCAGTCAAGTTCTTCCA